TTTATTTTTTTTTCCTTTGCTGACTGCATGTCAGCATCTAACTTTAAGTGTATAAACCAATGAGGGAGAGTGGGAGAGGGATGAGGGATGAAAAACCCCCTATTAGGTACAATGTACACTGTTTGCGTGATGGGTACACTAAAGACCCAGACTTCACCACTATACGATTCATCCATGGAACCAAAAACCACTTGTGATCTTAAAACTGTACAATATATAGTGACTTCTATACAATATATAGTGAGCAGATGTCAAATATATAGTCAATGAGGGAGCCAGCGTAATAAAGCAAGTTCAAAGGAAGATGTGAGAAACCAAGATGGAAAAAAGAACATCAGAATAAGATTGCGGATTAGGGGGGAAAAAAACCCAAACAAACAAAACAAACTGGTTAATGGTCCTAAGGGCAATAAAACTGGAACCTTGTGGGTTATCTTTTCAACTATACAGAAATTCTTGGTAATTTATCAATGTTTTACAAGTCAACACCGGTATTATTTCCTATTACAGCAATAACAAATTATTTCAAACTTGGTGGCTTAAAACAACACGAATTTATTATCTTACAGTTCTGAAGGGCGAAAGTCCAAAATGGGTATCACTGGGCTAAAATCAAGGTGTCAGCAGGGCTGCACTCTTCCTGGAGACTCTAGGTGAGAATGTGTTTCATCACCTTCACTAGCTTCCAGAGACTGCCTGCATTCCTTGGCTTGTGGCCCCTGACATCTTCAAAGCCAGCAATGGCCAGTTGAGTCTTCTTTGCACTGTGCTACTTTAATACCAACTCTCCTGCCTTTCTTTTCCACATTTAAGGATTCTTGTGATTACATAGGGCCCACTCAAATAAGTCAGAATAATGTCTTTATTCTAAGGATACCTGATTAGCAAACCTAATTCCATCTGCAACATTTATTTCCCTTTGCCACGTAAGCTAACATAGTCACAGGTTCTAGGGATTAGGATGTGGATGTCTTTGACGTGCTGTCATTCTGCATGCCACATCATCTAATGTGGTCTGTGTCCTTATTGACAAATAGTAGATATATAAAGTGACATTTCCCTAGAGCAAAATTATCTATATACCTTTCTGGGGTGAAAGATAGTGGTCTTTTCTGTGCCGTTCAGTAAGGTACCCACTGGCTGCATGTGTATACTGAATGCAGTACTTGAAATGTAGCTAAAGAAACTAGAAAACGAGGTTGGACGTGGTGACTTGTGCCTATAATCCCAGCATTTTGGGATGCCAAGGTGGGCAGATCATGAGATCAAGAGATTGAGACCATCCTGACCAACATGGTGAAGACCCGCCTCTACTAAAAATACAAAAATTAGCTGGGCATGGTGGCACGTGTCTGTAGTCCCAGCTACTCGGGAAGCTGAGGCAGGAGAATTGCTTGAACCTGGGAGGTGGAGGTTGCAGTGAGCAGAGATTGCGCCACTGCACTCCAGCCTGGTGACAGAGCAAGACTCTGTCTCAAAAAAAAAAAAAAAAAAAAAAAAAAAAAAGAAACTAGAAAATAGAATTTTTAATTTAAATTTAAAAATTAAAACATAGCCACATGTGGCTCATGGCTACCATATAGACAGGGCAGCCCTGGAGTATCAGTTTACTCTGTAATGGGTTTATTAGACAGTGCTGGAGGATAATATTGAAAAGTTACCCGCAGGGGGAGGTTTACTTGAGGCCAGGGGTATGAGACCAGCCTGGACAATACTGGGAGATCCCATCTCTACAAAACATTAAAAAAATTACCCAGGCCTGGTGGCACACTCCCATAGTCCTAGCTACGCTGGAGGCCGAGGCGGGAGGATTGCCTGAGCCCAGACGTTTGAGGCTACAGTGAGCCATGATTGTACTAGTGCACTCCAGCCTGAGTGACAGAGTGACACCCTGTTTCTAAAATAAAATAAACATCTCATAGTATTTTTCTTTTTGCCTTATTTCCAAGTTTTAGAAATTTTTGCTTAATATGTGCAAGTAAAATAGTGACTCCAGCAGACTTATATCCAATAAAAATGTGAAGCCTAGTTTCTTTGTCAAATAACTGTAGGCTTTTTCTTTTACCTTCCTTAGATCTCCTGGCTCATGGATATCTGAGTTGCACAGTGTAGGTTCATCTGCATTTTTGTTGTCATAGAGCACATTCCTTGGCTCTTCCTTAATCAAACATATGTAAGTATCAGCTTGAGATAGACCCTATGGTAAGAGATGAGTAAAACACTGTCCCTGTCATCAGTCAGTGGTTTGTCTAGAAAGAAAGGATACACATGCAGACAAATAGATAGTGTGTGTGACAGAAGAACCAGGTACAATAGGGGCATAAAGGAGAGAGGATCACTTCTATCCCAAAACTATCCATTAGTCTCAGCAAGGTTTATTGGTAGAGTGGGTTGAATAGCATCCTCCCAAATTAATGTCTACCTGGAACCTCAGAAGTGGCCTTATTTGGAAATAAAGTCTTTGCAGATTAATTAAGCTAAGATAAGGTCTTACTAGATTAAGGTGGGCCCGAAATCCAATGACTGGTGTTTTTATGAGAAAGGAGAGGATTTGGATACAGACATACTGGGAAGAAAGCCACGAGATGACTGAGGCAGAGGTTGGGGTGATGCAGCCACAAGGAACGCCAGGAGCTGCCCGAAAAGGCAAGGAAGGATGCTACCTGAGAACCCATGGCCCTGCCAGCACCTTGACTTTGGACGTCTAGCCTCCAGAACTGTGAGAGAATATACACCGAAGCCACCCAGCTTGTGAAAATGTGTTGCAGTAACGCTAGGAAACTGACCACTGGAAAGGTGCTGGGTAGGTCACAGAATTGAGGGCAGAGCTGAAGAACCAGGCACAGGAAGGAGGGTACTTCTGAGGAGCTCAGCAGCAGGAGCTTGTGGACTGTCTGCGGCCATCCGGGCGACCTGCTACAGTGGCCTTTTCACCTTGTGTACCTTGTGCAAGAGCCTATCTCTCAGGAGAGACTCTAACCCAGCTTATCCCGTTCCTTTCTTGGCAGCTCATTTGAAACACATGGAGTGGAGGATGGATGATTTCCCAAAGGAAGAGACAGCAGTCAGATAAAAACAACAGGTGACCACTTCACAGATGACAGTAAAGTCCCTTTTGGAAGAAGAAACTGTCCTGTTGAATGCTACTCTTTTACCCAGTGACAGTGGGTGGTTACAGATGTTGAGAAAAATTATCTTGGCCGTTATGTGCAGAATGGTTTGGAGCAAGAATGGTTGGAGCAGAATGGTTTGGAGCAAGACTAAATGTGAAGTTTACTAAAGTTTACTAAATTTCACATTTAGTAACATTATCTAAATGTGAAGTTACAGGAGCACAGGGGACCCTGTCCTACTGTGCCTCGGCAAAGGAAGGAACGCTATTGCTTTGTACTCAGTGGCATCTTTTTTTTTTTTTGAGATGGAGTTTCGCTCTTGTTACCCAGGCTGGAGTGCAATGGCGCGATCTCGGCTCACCGTAACCTCAGCCTCCTGGGTTCAGGCAATTCTCCTGCCTCAGCCTCCTGAGTAGCTGGGATTACAGGCACGCGCCACCATGCCCAGCTAATTTTTTGTATTTTTAGTAGAGACGGGGTTTCACCATGTTGACCGGGATGGTCTCGATCTGTTGACCTCGTGATCCACCCACCTCGGCCTCCCAAAGTGCTGGGATTACAGGCGTGAGCCACCGCGCCCGGCCCTCAGTGGCATCTTAACATTAACTTTCAGTATTGTGTGGGGGGACGGAGAAAATTCCCTTATTTTCTGTCTCCAACTACTTCTGCCTAATTTTTTGACTTCCTTTTGACATCTTAAAAATTAGAAAGCACATCTTTTTCCTATTTGTCTGCTCAATTCTATGAAACAGATACAATGTTAATTTCACTGTTCCAGGGTGGAACTGGGAGCAGGCTTTTTCTTTACAAAAAAGAAAACCTACTCAGAGAACCCAGGCTCAGAAGGCAAAAGTACAAATGTCTCCCGTGCTCCAAGTCCCAGAGAGTAAGAAATAGGAGGCTCCATGAAGCCCACGATGAGCATTAAGGGTTACAGTTCCTCACCCTTATAGGTACTAACAGGCTGCCATGGATGCTGGGAAGCGGGTAGGGTGGAGTTGTCTAGAGAGAAAGAAGGCGCACAGCAGGTGTGAAAATAGGGGCAGGAGCCAGGTACTTGTCCTGTTGCCCTAGCCTTCTTCAAACATTCTGACATTTGGCTATTGTGTCCTGTCCGTTTGTAGGGCCAGCTGAGTAGCTCTGATTTTGAATGTGATTTTGAATGCCAAGTGTGGCTGGGCATTCTGGGACAGGCAACATACTGGGGCTTCTGGGAAAGCAGAAGTTACACTCTGTACATGTGTGAGAATTGGATGGATGGGGGTGGTATGTGTCTTAGCTGGTTTGGGCTGCCATAACAAAAATACCATAAACTAAGTGGCTTATAAACAGAAAAATGTTTTACTCACAGTTCTGGAGGCTGGGAAGTCCAAGGTCCAGGTGCTGACAGATTCAGTATTTGATGAGGGGCCCCTCTCCGGTTCATAGACGGTGTCTTCTTGTTCTCACATGGTGAAGGAGGTTGCCTCGCTCTTGGGGGTCTCTTTCGTAAGGGCACTGATCTCATTCATGAAGTGGGGCCCTCATGACTTAATCACTTCCCAATGGCCCCACCTTTTAATACCACCACCTTTTCTAGGACCTGGTATCTTATAACAGCAACAAAAAAAGAGCAAACAAACAAACAAAAAAATACCACCACTTTGGGGTTTAGCTTTGAATGTATGAATTCTAGGGGGACATAAACATTCAGTCCATAGCAGTATGAGAGTAAGTCTTTGCTTTATCTTTTTTTTAAATATCCAAGCCATGTTAATGTATTACTTATTTAAAAATTTTAGTCGGTTTCATATTTTAATGATGTTTATTGAGCCCAAAGAACTGGTTTCAAATATATGGCTTCAACTGTATCTTTTTTAAAAAGTATTTTATTAACATCTATGCCATCCAGATTTTACTGCATCAATTCACAGAAATAATTTTTATTCAAGCCCCTCTATTTTTAGTGCTTTATAGTTTTCAACTATGACAAATGGAAAATAAATACCCAGTAACCATCCTTATCTCCAACTGACCAAATTCTAAGAAAAAAATGCAATTGTATTTACTGTCATTTAAAATAATACACATGGTAAGGCAAACTTTTTATATTGCTTTATCTCCTTCTTCCAATCCAAAAGAATGTTAATCAATTGAATGGTAGATCTACATGAGGGAAATACCACTCCTTTGCTGTCAAATGCACGTACATAGACCTATGGCTGATCCATGGCAAAACAAAACTTGCAGAACTCTCTTGTGGTTACTGAATCAAATACACTGGGAAAATCATCATATATTTATCTACCAAGAAGTGTTGTTCATTCAATGATCACAACTGTATTACCAGTCCAGTTAGATTGGATGGACACAGAAAGGAAAAATTTGCTTTTACATCAATGTTTATATGATCTTTTCAGAAACAAATCAGCATTAAACTTGCTTGCTGTGGATATAGCAGTGCTTTGCTCGTGGCTTCTAGGCTGGAAAGTCTAAGTAAAATACTTTGTAAATAATGATTCATTGGGTTAATATAATCAGAGTTGGATAATGTTTCTAAATTATGTCTATTTTGTTCTGCAAGGGTATAAGAGTATCAGTTTGGAACCCCTTTAGGATTAACAAGCCATCTTTTTACTTGTGAAAAACTGAAACACCTGGAAAAAAGAAGAAAAGACAATAATTATGGAACAAAGTATACAAATCTCTCAACTTCATATTTAGGGAGAAGAACAATAAATAATTGACAATTGTGTTGTTAGGATTTACAGTTATGAATAAGTGCTTTTGGGTAGTTACTTACTCTCCTGTGGCCTCCATGCCTTCATTTATAAAATAAGAAACTGGATGACATCAGAGATTTTTGAATATTTTTAGCAAGAGGTTTAAAATGTTATGGGGAACACACTCACATGTATATGTTTTTAGTGTGGTATAAATTTAATTTATAAGATCAATGTTGAACACTTCCTTATAAAGCAAATATGTAAGAGCAATTATGTTACTTGGAATAATGTAAGAATTCAAAATTGCAGGTAAGCCGGGCGCGGTGGCTCAAGCCTGTAATCCCAGCACTTTGGGAGGCCGTGGCGGGTGGATCACGAGGTCAAGAGATCGAGACCGTCCTGATCAACATGGTGAAACCCCGTCTCTACTAAAAATACAAAAAAAATTAGCTGGGCATGGTGGCGTGTGCCTGTAATCCCAGCTACTCAGGAGGCTGAGGCAGGAGAATTGCCTGAACCTAGGAGGCGGAGGTTGCGGTGAGCCGAGATCGTGCCATTGCACTCCAGCCTGGGTAACAAGAGCGAAACTCCGTCTTAAAAAAAAAAAAAAAAAATTGCAGGTAAAGGATGACAGTTACAGACTCAGAATGCAATTTATATGTGCATCTTGTTTTGACTACAAGGCATGGATAATATTCTGACACACAGAAGTAATTATAAGTGGTAAAGTGACAAGAGGTTTTTTGTTTTTTGAATTTGTCTTGCAATTTGAGGATGATATTTTTTAAAAATTCTTAAATTTAAAATTTTAATTAAAAAAGAGAGATGGGGTCTTGCTATGTCACCCAGGTTGGTCTTGAACTCCTGGGCTCAAGTGATCCTCCCATTCTGGCCTCCCAAAGTCCTGAGATTACAGGCATGAGCAACCATGCATAGCAGAGGATGGTCTTTATTTTAAAGTCTGTACAGGCTGGGCATAGTGACTCATGCCTGTAATCTCAGCACTTTGGGAGGCCAGAATGGGAGGATCACTTGAGCCCAGGAGTTCAAGACCAACCTGGGTGACATAGCAAGACCCTGATTATATTGGAAAATTAGATTTTAATGAAAAAATTTTATTTTTTTCGGAGGGTATGCCATAGTTCTTCCTCTTCCACAGTGTTTTCAGTTGTTGCCCTGTTAGTGTGCAGAACACAGAAGTTTAATTTTCTAACAAAAAACCAATGTTTCTTCTTATCAGCATGTATTTCCCAAGGAGTTTCTGTGGCCACTCTCCAAAGCCTTCAGTGCTCTGGGTGTTGTGTTAAGCAGCAGCCTAAAATTGCAGCAGTTGAATTCAATGAATACAGATAGATAACTCTTCCAAACAGTGCTAGTTCATTATAAATGGAGTAATCAGTAGATTTCAATTTGGTGTTTTGCATTCTGGTTGTGATTCTTAGAAGAATCAGGGAGTAGGATCTTTAAATATTTTAATCTAGTGTATTCTCACATTTTATTTTAAAATAAGAAGAAAAACTACCATGTTGGTTAAAACACCCTGGCCTTCCTTTGTCAGGTCCCCAAATCATGCATATTTAGTTAAAGGTCTTAAATATTGGATAAGATATACTGACTTTAAAATGAAGCATGATTTAAGCACTTGTGCAATCCTTGATTTCTATAGAACACAATATGAAAGCTACTGGATTGTCTGATTCTCCCCTGCTCTTTGAATAATACTCTTTTAGTTTATTGATCTTACCTTTCAGGAAATACCAGTGTTATGCTATAGGGATAGACCAAGGCTTAAATGTCTTAGGGTCGTCTCTTGGGATCTAAGAAAGAAAGCAAATTAAATACTTAATATACCATAACACCACTACAATATTTCAACAGGAGCATTACATCAGATCTTGGATATTAAAAATTTTTTGGATGAGAGGAGGCTGGATGTTCCTGGCTCCTGGGGCATGGGACTGTGTTATTCCTTTCAAATGACAACTGTGAAACGAAGGTGGGTGTGTGTTGTCCTCTCTGTTGTAACTAATGTTGCTAAGTAAGAGGGCACTTCAGACTTTTTTTTTTTTTTAGACAGAGTCTTGCTCTGTCACCCAGGCTGGAGTGCAGTGGTACGATCTCAACTCACAGCAACCTCCTATTCCTAGGTTCAAGTGATTCTCGTGCTTCAGTCTCCTAAGTAGCTGGGATTACAGGTGTTCACCACCACGCCTGGCTCATTTTTGTATTTAGTAGATATGGGGTTTCACCATGTTGGCCAGGATGGTCTGGAACTCTTGGCCTCAAGTGATCCACCTGCCTCGGCCTCCCATAGTGCTGGGATTACAGACGTGAGCCACAGTGCTCAGCTTAGTAAGAGGGCAGTTCAATTAGTTACCTATCTTCTTTGCTTTCCACATAAGAATCCAAAGAGAATTACACCTCCTATGAATTCATCTGGGAGTGGGGATGTGGCTAGGCTGGGCGGTGTACACAGTGAGCCCACACACCTAGACTCCTCCACAGTGATAACAGCTCTGTCAGCACCTTTAGCCAAAGGGGTTGTGTGACATTGTGTTCTCGTTGGTTAAACCCCAGCCTCATTTCACTCTCCTGGACTATAAGTCCCAAGAATTGTTCATCCTTTCTCATGGTCCTCAACGTCTGTCTCCTCTTCAGGGAATTCTCCCCTTTAGGTTCAACCCCAAAGCAGAACACACATCCCTCCTCTCCCCTGTTATGTTTTGGTTTGAAGGGTTGACTTTTAGTTACAAATATGTTACAAAGCAAAGCAAACTTTGCCCTGATGATGGAAAGCTATGAGGGTTCCAAAGAGCTTTCTCCCCTTTCCTAATAGGTATTTATTTCACAAAAATACAAAAAGCCAAGTAATTCACCCAACTTCTACCACTCAGGACGTTTTCCCAAGTTCGTTCTTACTTTTTGCCCTCTATATTGAAATGTAAATGAAGGGCTAGGTTTGCCTTCCCAAAGGGCCTTCCCTGTTCTCTTCTTAGCTGCTCCTGTGAGAGCTGCTTGGCACTCTTCTTTAGAATGAGCCCGTTCTGCAAGGTCTGGGCTGGGCACAGGGCAAAATTCCTCAGTTTAGCCTATGGGAGATTTGAGTCTACTCTTCTGCTAAAGTTATGGAATTTTTAGTCTCTCTCTCTCTCTCTCTCTCTTTTTTAAGACAGAGTCCTGCCCTGTCAACCAGGCTTGAGCGCAGTGGCAAAATCATAGCTCACTGCAGCCTCAAACTCCTGGGCTCAAGCGATCCTCTCACCTTAGCCTCCTGAGTAACTGAGACTACAGGCATGGGCCACCATGCCTAGCTAATTTTTTTGTTTGTTAGTGAAGACACCATCTTGCCTTGTTCCCCAGGCTGGTCTCGAACTCCTGATCTCAAGTGATCCTCCTGCCTCAGCCTTCCAAGTGCTGGGATTACAGGCGAGAGCCACTGTGCCTGGGCACTTCCAGTGAATCGTTCAACCTAAGGGTGGTCTTAGGGATCCCTGACTCAATCGTCTTCACCATCATCATCATCAGTATGTATTGACCATTTACTATGTGCAATAACTGCTAACTGCTTTATATATTATCTTATTCAATTCTTACAACAACCCTGTAAAGTAACTAGAGTTATTCTCTCCATACCCCACCTGTCCCTCATTTTATAGATAAGAAAACTGAGTGATCAGAGAAGTTAAATAAAGCATCGAAGGTAGAACTGGGGCCAGGTGCAGTGCCTCATGCCTGTAATCCCAGCACTTTGGGAGGCTGAGGTGGGCAGATTGCTTGAGCTCAGGAGTTTGAGACCAGCCTGGGCAACATGGTGAAACCTTGTCTCTACCAAAAATACAAAATACAAAAACTAGCTGGGTATGGTGGTGTGCACCTGTAGTCCCAGCTACTCGGGAGGCTGACGTGGGAGGATCACTTGAACCTGGGAGGTGGGGGTTGCAGTGAGCTGAGATCGTGCCACTGAACTTCAACCTGGATGACAGAGCATGACTCCACCTAAAAAAAAAAAAAAAAAAAAAAAAAAAGAAAAAGAAAAGAAAAGAAAAGAAAAAAAAAGAAAAAGAAAAAGATAGAGCTGGAATTGAAACCCAGATACACTCTGACTTGGGGCCTGTCTCAAGTACTAAGCTAAAACAGTTCATTGTAACTCTTCTCCCTGGCAGGATGAGATGGCTGTCTTTTCTCCTGTTTCATATTCTGCATCTCTTATTTCCTCTCTTAAACTGAGGAATGCCTCCAGCTTTTGCCTCTTCCCTTTTAGGTGTTCTCCCTATCTCTCCCTTTCCTCTGCTCCTACAAACCTAAGGAGGAAATCACATAGGAGAGTTTTTAGATACAAAAATATACATTCAATAACAGTATCAGAGAATCTCCCTTCAGAAGTAAGAATAGCTACTCTGTGAAATGTCACCAAACACGGCAGGGAAAAGATTCAGTCCCTGCATCCTGGGACAAACGTATTCAATGTAGAACCAGTTTCACAGCCAATAAAACCTCTTTCAAGACAGCATGAGAGGCTAGAAGAATGTAGTTAAGAATGAGTACATGCCTGAGTATGTGCGTGCATGTGTCTGCGTGTGTGCATGCATGCATGCGTGTGTGCATGCATGCATGCATGCGTGCGTGTTTATGGGAACAGGGTAATAGGTTGAGCATTCTGAGGAAGACACCATGGGAGATTCTGTCTGAGCTGTGTAGTCTGCTCTGTGTCCCATCTCAAGGAATCCAGGTGACCGAAGCATGTCTGTGCTGGTCTAAGGCCCTGCCAATTATCTGTAGCTTAGATTTTAGCTGAACAGGCTGGAGATTTCATGTTTTCACATGTTATGGTTTATAAGCCCTAAGAAATAGAAAGGCAGTCTTGTAGGGCTGATAGTACGTCTCCCCCAGCTCAGAGAAATCCAGGGCTGTGTATGGAGTACGGGGTTGAACAGGCTTCATCCTGAATGGCTAGTGTTCGGGAGTGAACCGCCTGAGAGGAGTGGATAAACCAGGCTGCCGGCAGTATGTGAAATGTTCACGTGCCTCTCCTCCTTCATCAGGGAGGAAGGACTCCAGTTAACTAAACAGGTGGCGCTTTTAATGCTGCCAACTCTCACTGAGTCTGGGCATCTGGAAATGCAAAAGAAGCAGGGAGGGAAAATGAGAGGTGGGGATATGAGAGACGCAGTGCTGTAAAGGGAGGGGAGTCCGTAGATGGAGATGGCATTAGGGTTTGTGGCGTGGGAAGGTGAAGGACTTTGGAAACCAGCCATTGGTCAATCTCAGAATAGCAGATTCTGTGAAGGACAGGCATGGCCATTTGGAATTGAGGACTGAGCTAAGAATGAAAGACTTTTCCCCACTAGGTTATGATAAAATCATGTGTCAGTGTAACGCAGGACATTAGCCATTTGTTATGGTTGCAAGGAGTTCTTGTGAGTCAGCGTGTTCCAGGCTGCCCCTTCAGAAGTGGGGTAAGCTGAAACCTGTTTATAAACTTGTTTCCAAGCTGAGTTGTCTGATTTTAACTTCCAGGAGATGGAAACTGAAGCTGCTAATTGGCTTTACATGGCCTCCCACTATGGCAGCCCACATACGGCACATTTTGTGATTACTCAATAAATATGTTTTGCTGCTGGTGATATTAAGATAACATGATTTTTTTAAAAAAAGTCTGACCTATTCCACATTCCCCAGGGCAGTATTTTTCTAATTTTTGAAAAGTGTGGAACCCTTCATGTCTCTGAATCCTGAAGATTTTTTTTAAAAAATGAAATCACTGTTTCTAAGGAGAAGTCCTAATTTGAAAGTGCTAAATATGTATTTATGTATATCTTTAAGGGAAGTTTACTTTTTTTCCCCCTTGTGGAATTTAAGATGACTGTAAAATACACATTTTCCAAGAAATAGATATTTTTCTTTCTCCCATCACCGAAAAGGAAATTATATAAAGACTATGTTTCTGGCCATGCCTAGCTGAGCCAGGCTGCCCTGCTGGGCTCAGAGTAGAAACCATCATCAGCAACACTGTCCTCACCAGAAATTAACCACCTGAGAAAGAGCCCATGTAAAAATGCAGCCAGCAATGCTGTGATTAAGGTTAAACAAATCCAAACATGAAAAAAACAAAACAAAAAAACAAAAAAAAAAAACAAACCACCTTTTAACATAGTGAATTGCTCATTCATACAGTATAATAATTATTATTATTTTTTTGGTAACAAACATGCCTTAGTCTTCTTACCAATGCCTGCTTTTCTTGAAGCTAATTTACCCATGAACACGAGGCTGCTAGTTAGAAGAGTTGTTGTTTATTCTGGCCTTAGCAGGTCAACTTGATTTAATGTGGAAACACTTTTCAAGCTCTTTGGGAGAGGCATATTTTGAAGGTCATTAACAGTTTTTGGGTTTTTGGTGATGACCTTAATGCTAATATTTAGAGTGACTCATATTTACACAGTATTTTTACATGCATTATTTTATTTAATTCCAAGGGAAAAGTACTGAGCGTTTTACCATCATTTCTGTTTAAGAAACAGATCTAGTTATTTACCTTGTGGGTCTAAGACGGTTATTAAAAGAGGAGGTCTTGAACTTCTCAATACTTATGCCCTAGTACACAGATATTCTGACTCCTCGACCTTCTCATTCATTAGAAAAAACTGTGTTTTGACAAGAGCATTCAAAGGCCCAATACAAAGACTGTTAATATCTGTTTCTCATTCTTTCTATTTGCATAGTACAGCATTGTGTACTAGTGTGAATCATTATATATTTCAATTAAAAACCATGTTGTAGTTTGATCAAGTGTATTAAAAATGTAAATTCTGATATTTATTTTGTTCCAAGATGCTTTAGAGATTGGTCTGTGTGAGCAACCAGGCTGTAAGAACTTCAGGAGGCCTGCTGTGCCTCCTATGGGGATGAATGAATTATAGTCACTAAAAGTCTAAAGAAGTAGACCTGAAGTGTGATAAAGACTAGTAGGAAAGCTGCTGATTGGAAGGAATATCCAGGTTTCACTCTGCTGATGTGAAAATGAATGGTGTGACCACAAATTCTATTTTCTCTCTCTGCCAGGAAGAACCACAATTGTAAGATTTTTCTACCAGAGAGGCAAATAATACACTTAAGAAGAGGGCCGCTTTTGAGGGCTACTTAGTCCCAAGCGAATTTGATTCTTTTGAAGCTGCTGCAGGGCCTTTGCACAAGCTGCTGTCAGCCTGGTACCATTGCCAGCTTTATACTTGCTGCCTTGCTTCGTTCAGGCTTTGGCTCAAATGTGAAAACTCCCAGAGGGAACTTCCCTAACAAACTACAATCAAATAATCTCTCCTTCACATTCTAGCTCCCTTCTCTTCAATTTTGCTTCACAGTATTCATCACCACCTGCAATTATATTGTGCATTTGTTTACTTGTTTACTGTCTGGCTTTCCCCACAGAATGTAAGGTTCATGTCATATGGAGAACGATCTTGCTCACCACTAGTTTTTCAGTTTCCTAGCAGTGCCTGGCACATGGAAGGTGCTCAATAAATGTTAGATGAATGAATAATTGCACGATGAGTAACCAAAGTGGGATCCCATCTATGACCCCCCTGACTTCAAGAAAAGCTCAAGGCTAAGTCAAAAAGGCTTTGTTCTACGGGATGTGTTAGGATACTCCAGGGTCAGCCAAACACTTTTAATTGTTTGTTGTCCTTCCCTGCTAGGCTATAAATGCCTTGAGAGCAGGGACCTGTGAGTCTGGTTCACCATGTATCACATGGTGGTACACGCCTGTAATCCTCGCTACTCAGGAGGGCTATATTCCTGGGACCTCAAACTATGCAGAAAAGAAGGGATCAAATGAAATTGTTGAATTTGATTAAGGCCAAGTAGGAGTTAACAAGTTGAACAGAAAAAGATGGTTCAAAGGAGAAGGAAGAGCACGGCAGAGGCCCTAAAGCAGGAGTGAGTGTCCCTGTCCTTGACATGAGGAATGACAGAAGAAGGCAGGTGTGGCTGGGTGGGGTCACGTGTGGCTGGAGAGGTGAGTGGGCTTGGCCATACTGGACTCTGAAGGTTTGTAGGCTTGGGAAGGCAAGTTAAGAAGTTTTCTATCTCCTACAAGCAAAGGGAAGCTTTTGCCAATGTATGTGCTGGGGCGGCATGGTCTGCTTTGACACACAAGCTCTGGCTGCAGCAGGTGTAGGGAGACCAGCCAGGAGGCAGCTTTGATTCAGGATGGAGAGATGATAGGTAGCTTTAGGGTCACCAGAAAGTAAACTCCACCAAGGCGGGGGTCTCTGTTTCATTCACTACTGTAGCCCCAGAATTGTTCTGTAGAACAATGCCTGTCACACATTAGATACTCAACACCTGTTTGTGGGATAAATGAACAATATAGTGGTTAAGGATAGAGGAAACAGACTGGGTCAAGAAATTGTTGGGGGTAAAAATGAACAGGACATGGTGAAGGACTAGCGACTGAGTATGAGGGAGAGAAATGGCAGGATGGCTTCTTGGTTTCTTATTTATATTTCTATATGGATGGAGAAATATTGCCATTTCTTGCAACAGGTAATAGTAGAATAATCAAAATTTTGTGTGTTTCTTGGCCTCTTTGCTAAACTAAAACTCAGGACTTCCTCCTTTCTGTGCTCCTTGGGAGGTTCCAATCAAGGCTGGCTTCCAACCAGCCCCCTCCCTCTGTTGGTGAACAGCTGAGGAGAGAGGGTCTGGATGCTTGAACAAAGCAACTTAAGTCTTCTTAAGTATTTGGAGAGGGCTTTCTTCTCACTGTTTCAAATATATGTGAATTCAGTGCAATGGCTAGAAATATTGTAGGTCATGAGAAATATGAAGGATAAATAATTATGGCTGGGTGCGGTGGCTCACACCTGTAATCCCAGCACTGTGGAAGGCTAAGGCAGGCATATCACCTGAGGCCAGGAGTTCGAGACCAACCTGGCCAACATGGTGAAACCCCATCTCTACTGAAAATGCAAAAATTAGCCGGGCATGATGGTACATGTCTGTAATTCCAGCTACTCAGGAGGCTGAGGTAGGAGAATTGCTTGAACCTGAGAGGTGGAGGCTGCAGTGAGCTGAGATTCCACCACTGCACTCTAACCTGGGCAACAGAGCAAGACCCTGTCTCAAAAAAAAAAAAAGAGAAAAAAAGAAAAAAGGATAAATGATCATTCTCCATATGGTCTAAGTAGCCTTAATAACAAGGTGTTTGTTACTGAAAAGTTAAAAACATTCTGTCCTGCCCTCACCCCTCAAATTTATTCCAATGGCTACAGATAAAGATTAAGAGTTTGTAGGATAAACAAATCGGCCAGGTATTTTCTTTTTGTGTTTAAGCAACTATTTTTTGAGTGATGTTTCCTGGGATACTTTTCCCATGAAATTCCCAATCCAGATTTTCTGTGACTAAGGCTCAGCAGAGTCATTCCCAATTATACTGTTCAAATCTTTTTAAAGACTTATTTCAGGGACATTTTGAGTTTAATTAAATGAATTTACAAATAAGATACATTATACATGTAAACATATATAAATTAAAAGATGGTTAAAAGTGTACACACATGCACACTCATACTCCAGAACATGGTTATAGTTAGTTCTGGTTGGTGAGATTATGGCTGATTTTAACTTCACCTTATTATTTTCAGGATTTTCTAATTTTTCCATAAGGGATGTGTTACTTTTACAAAGACAAAATGCAATGTATGTTATTAAAAGGAGGTCTAAAATACCAAACCTGAAGTGATATTTAGAAACTATGTATCTACGAGTATTTTAGAAAATGCTAGGTTATTCTAACATTGAGCATTTGATTCATGGGTACAAATTAGTAGGTTATTTATATCTGCAAAGATATATCAGTCTTATCAAGGAACCATCAGACTTGAGAGAAAATATGGTGTCATCACATGGACCAGGTAGCTAAGAGGCTAAGTCCCAAATGGTAAATGAAATCGAAGTGTTTCACTTCTTACCATTGAATATAACAGAGCTACTTTGCCAGACAACTGGACTATTCAAAACAGCCTGAAATCTTAGAAATGAAGGAATTCATTTTCTAGGAGCCAGGCCAGTGGAAGACTGAAAACATTAACCTCAGGCAAGAAAGGAAGCTTAGAAGTATCTTTTTGTTTGTTGTGTTTTTTAGTTTTCTTAATCTGCTTCATTCCAGAAAAGGGTATTTATTATTGCAAGATGTGAATAAGAATATTTTTTAAAGGTCAGAAGTGCTTATGCTTTGGGGGTATGAGATGACACCATTTCCACAGTGACTGCAGAGTCAGGAATGGGTAGATGACTGACCTCTAGGCCACGATGGGCATGTAGGAGTTCCTGGAGTGGGTAGAAGGTGCTAGTTCCCTAGCTCTGCCTATCTGAGGGACTGGCCAGAGGCAAGTGATTGTAATCATTGCTGTAGACAATGGAATCAGATGGGGGTCAGAACTGTAGACTTGGAGGGAAATTACAGGATGACCGTGTTGAGTTAGACTTGAAGATGGAAAGATAAATAGGCCGTGTAGGAGAAGGAAATTAATAATTATGACACTTCCTTTTAAGCAATATTTCTGTAAGATCTTTTTACTCTATGGTTGGCTATTTTGGAGAGGTCAGTTAAGTATTTTGGCTTCTTTAAATATAGATTTGAAAACACAAATTTCTTTTTACAAAGTAGAGAATCAACTGTTTTCTCTCTGAGAGGCCATATATTGTAGTGAAGCCAGACAGCCTGGGTTTGAATCTTAACCCTTAAATGCCAGGTGTGTGATCTTGGGCAAGTTATTGCACCTATTTCACCAACAGTAAAATGAAGAAAATACCAGTAGTTACTTGATTGAATTGCAGTAATGACTAATATGCCTAAAATGTTTAGTGTGGTGCTCAGTCAATGCTAGCTATTACTTAAATTAGGATGCTTAGGAAATTGGCAAAGGCTAGGCTCAATGACCTCTGGAAAGTTACTTGTCTGTGACCTTCAGCAGGTGGGATTTGCCATGGGTGTATCCACGATGATAACTGCCTAGTCCTCTCCCTCCTGAGCTGGGAGATGTTGGTATGAAACAGAATGAAGTAGAAAGGTAGTAGCTGGCAATGGGATCACCCTACTTCTAAATGACAGGCAGTCTGTGTATACTGTCTGTATAGGGAACACAGAAAGTGACATTATCAAATATGGCTATATGATACATGGATTTCTGCATGTATGTGTTTGTTTTTGTTGAAGGGCAGGATGGAGTTGGTAGGCTAGAAGGAGGGAGGGAATACTTAACCACTGTTTAGAGAAATCAGTCAATTGTTTTCCATTTAGCTATTAGTTTTTGCAGCATGACATTAATAAATTATCCTACTTCAGGGTTGGTAAGATGATCAAATTAAAATGTAGGAAATGCTTTTTTAAAAGTTACAATTACTACCTGTACACAAGGTGTATTTGTGTGATTTGCTTTTTTCATTTCATAATTTGATTAGCTAGACACATATTAGGTTATAAATTTACCCAAGAGATCTAAGAAGCAGGAAATAGACAAATCATCTTCTAGGAAAATAAACAATTCCATACCATGTCTGTGAATCGATCTGCACAGGCCATTCGGACCCATTCTGGTGTTGCTGGGCTCTGCACCGTGAAGTCCTCAGCTATGCCTCTTTCTCTTCGTACTGTGGCCACAGCGTCAGCAATGGCAAAGAACACAGATGACCCCAGGAACATCCCAGACTCCCCAAGGCCCTGTAAGAAGGTACATTGGTTTAAGAACATCTATACTACACTACAAGTTTCTAGAGGGTAGGGGCCAGGTCTTCTTCACTATCGTATCCCCAACCCCTGCATAGTGTTTCGTATACAAAATCTTCTCAATAAATGTTTGTTGGCTGACTTACTGACTGAATGAAGCTTGAGTAGTCTTAAAAATCCCAGTATAATCTGAGTTTCCCAGATCTTGAATCCTGTCTGGGTCAAATTTTGTTCTATAAGAAAAGTATGTATGTGTGTACATGTGTGTGTGTGTGTGTGTGTGTGTGTGTGTGTGTGTGTGTCTGTATATGAGTGTCTTTGTGTGGTGAGGGGAAAGCATTCTATTTAGTAAAACACATTCAATGGATTGAACTAGCCAGCTATATCAGCAGAGAGAAAAATGCCTTTTTTAACTCCAGGGTCAGGAGAGGGGAGAGGCAGAGTACTCTAGAAAAAAAGAGTACAGAGTTTGATACCACATGAAAGGTTATAAACTCATCATCTGCAAGGAACAGGCAGGTATTGTAAATGAGTGACGCAGGCAGATGAAGGACAATAAGGAGTAGTGGAAGCTAAGGTGAGGAAGAGCACCTCCATGTCCTATCTACAAGGGGCAACTGTTCTTTGGTTGTAGCTAGCTGTTGCCTTTCCAAGCATGCAGCCAAAATTACCAGATCACCCATTTTCTCAAGAGAGTTTAGATATCTGTATTTTAATATAAAATTCCCTGACTTGTAAAAATACTGTGTTGGCCAAAGAAAAGTACATCTTCAGGCTAGCTTTAGCCAGTAGACCACCAATTTGCAACCTGTGTGTTAGTAAGACTGAGTCTGAATCCTTGGCCCTTATTCTAGCTAAGTGATGTAATCTCCTCTGTTCCTTTGTCAGTGAAGTGTGGGCAGTGATGCCTACTTTATAGGGTGTTGCAAGGATCAGGAAGTGTGAAAGCACCTAACACAGCTCCCGGTACCCAGTAGCTCTCTGTTGTTCATACACAGTACCCTCCGTGCAAACGCATGATTTTCTTGAGTGTCTGCTTGTGAGTGGCTGTCTGTAACCATAAGGATTCAAGGGTCCTGTCTGCCCTGTTATGCTTCATGGCTTAAAAGCTGCTCTCTGTGGGCTCTTAGCTGCCTTTTGCCTTTGCCCCTTAGAGTGATTTCCAGTCCAAAGAGAATCCAAAGGCCCCATTGATTGTCTTTCCTTTCAAGTTTGCCCTGACCTCATCATTATAGGTCTCAAGGAAGTCCCTGGGCTGACAGTGGGATCCAGTTTGGAAATGATGAAATTTCTACAGACGTAGTTGGATTCTTTTGTTTTGGAGGGAGGAGTACTAGCAAAAAGTCTCCCAAAAATCTTATTTATTTATTTCCCAGGCTGGTCTTGAATTCCTGGGCTCAAGCGATCCCCTGCTTCAGCCTCCTGAGTGGCTGGGGCCACAGGTGTGCACCACCATGACCAGTAAAGATTTTAAAGTCTTAAGAGGAGTCAAAAAACTTTAACAATACATCTCAAACCTAGATGAAGTTTTTTTGTTGTTGCTGTTGTTGTTGTTGTTGTTTTTGTTTTTGTTTTTCTGCCTCTAATAAAATTCCTCTGGGAACTAGATGAAGTTTTTACTCTAAGGGTGGTTTTCACATAATCTGCATACAGCAAGGCAAACAAACAATGATCTTTATTTTAATTTGCAGTTGCATTACTTTAGCAATTACTAAGGGTTGCTATCTCTGCTTTCTGACGCTATTAAAATTTTGTGCCAGATAATTCTTTGTACAAAACCACCTCTTCTACTTTCCCCACCCCCAGTTGAGACCCACTGTTCTAGATGCACTTCTGGGTATGGTCAGGACCCTGAACCCCTCAGAGGTAAGTGATTTCCCTAAGATCATGGGGAGCGGGGGACAGGGCTGTGGCAGGAACCCAGGTCTCTGCGGCCTCAGTCTGCTGTTCTGTCCATGGTGCCGCTGCTAGGATTTCAGTCGCATTTCAATCGCATTGCGTCTCCCATCTCGTTTAATATTGTAGTCTTCAGGGTCTTAAGTAAAAGTGTTATTCTATTAAGATGTCCGAGCTTTTTGTTGAGTTTTACAGTTTTCAGTGAAAGAGGAAATTATTAAAATCCTTGGCCCATGATTGCCATTCTCCAAATTCTAACAGTCTGTAGTGATTTGTTCCTGATAACAGTTAACATTGACTTACTATTTTGTCTGCCTGCTTTCATTTACCATGTGCTACCTGATAGGTTTGGGTGCTTACCTTAGATGAATAGATGGTTAGTGGGGTGTGTGACGATGGCAACAAGGAGACATTGAACTCCTCCGGGACATCAGTGATGATTGGAATTTTGTACTCATCTGGGCTCCGAGAGTACAGGACACCTTCTGGGGAATATTGCAGTTCTTCAGTGGTATAAAGCCCCATTCCTTGAATAAACGAACCTTCAATCTGGAGGTGGACAATATCAAGCTTTGTGACATTATGTCATTTTTAGAAGGCCTTTACCTACCCTGAAATGACTCCCAGGAAGAAGCATCCACCCAGGTGAGCCAGCACCTACCTGCCCAATATCAATGGCCGGATTGAGGCTGCAACACGCATCCATGATGATGTCCGTTCTGATTTTCTGTCCAAAATAAAAATTAACTCACCATAAAAACTTCAATTAAAAACATCATTTTCAGGTGTACTCAAATGGCCTCCAGTTATTTCAGAACTCCTGCTGGTTAGTTAACACTGCACTGAACCCTGTCAACGTTAGCACTGTTAAGATGTCTGCTGAATTCTTCAAGTTGAGGGCTAGGACTGTCCATGACTCTGGAAGATCTTGCGCATTCACGGTTTTGACTCCTCTTAGTGACTCCAAAGTCCATGACATGTTAGTATGTCTGAGTGAGTCACTTGGTAAATTATTGTTGTGTCTGGTTGTTCATCTGATTCTCAACCTGAATTCATTGTTGGAATATAATTTATGAGCTTGTGTAGTCCTCATGATAATTTGTGGGAGGTGGTACTGTTCCCATTTTACTGAGAAAATCCTAGAGCCGTACTGACATGTGGATTTGCAAGATCTTGGAAGGCATTAATGGCAAATGTCAAGACCACCTTTGACTTGCTAATCTACTTCGTTCTCTGAGAAGCGTCACACGAATCTGGCCCTTGTTTTGGCACCGGGCATGGGCATGCAGGTTGTTAAGGAGCTACTAAAAGCCCCTAAGTACCTGTGGTCTATCTCCAGAGTATCTCAGGGCTTCCTTTGTGTCCCTATTTCCCAGTGCTTGTTTTGACAAGATCGTCATTCTCTGTTTGGGCTCAATGCCTGGGCTCCTACTTTCTATCTAGCCCTTTGGACTTGGCAATTCTCTTTTGACTCAAACCTTGGCCTCTCAGACAACCCACTCTGGGCATTGGGACCGGCCTTCATCTATTCTCAACCTGGATAGGGAGGGAGATTGGACACACCTCAGAGTGAGCCATCAGTTTACTTCTACTTTGAAACCTGGTGTGTTTTGCACTGTAAGTACTGGACAGTGGAAAGAGATGGCTGTGCATTAACACTGAACTGACGGATGATTTAGTTCACCAACCACAAATGGCCAGCTGCAATAGGCCTGTTATTGACTTGTTAATTGAATTTCTCCAATTTCTCTTTAGTCAAAAGAAGTTTTGCCTCTTTAAGAAATAAACTATTTTAAGGGACCAAAGTAATATTGAAATTATTGAACCTTAAACTGTAAATGTAAACTGAAAGGCACAGAAAAGACCAAATGTTAACTTTTCTAGCACCATAAATTCTGGAAGATCCCCATAAGTTTCATTTCTTTAGGGATTTATAGCAAGGCCCTTGGGTAAAATTGCATCCTTTATAATGCAAATGGTTAATTTTGGGTTAAGTATGATTCCCTGTCTCCAATGGATGGTTTCTTGGATGTCCAATTAAATAGAAAATATAAAAATTATTTTCACACCTCCCTTCCCCCCATATCTGTTTCAGTAATACTTTTTGGATAATTGACTTTGGAGAAACAGCTACATTGCTATGTGCTTTCAAAATGTTGGCTCAAGATTATTTACTAAGTTAGCTATTCCTTCAGATTAGGAAATATGTCCTTTCTTTATAAACAGAAGCTTTTTTTTGGGAGAAACCTTGGAAAGTGACTTTGTTGTCGACATAAAAAGTTTAATACACTTTAGGCTGTCATCAGCAATTCCTTTTTGACTACTATATTGTCTTTTTAAGTGGAAATTCAGAATAAGGCTAGATCTCTGGACCCTTCCATGGAACTGAAAGAATCTTGTTTTTTGTTGTAAGAGAATTACATAATGGAATTGGGCTATTTACTATACAATACACTTTTGTTGTTTTGACCTGCTAAGAGGAAAGTTAGACTTGACTTACCTTGTGAGCACCTGTCAGGCAGTCAATTTCAACCTCAGAACAGGCAGCTCCATAGACATAGTAAGGAAATGGGTCCCCCACCCCTTTCTCCCAGTCCATGAAGGCCTTATAGCCCCTGAGGGAAGAAATAAACCATTTTAGCATGAGTTGATTTATTTTAAAAGTTATTAAAGTTTTATGGTAGCATTTCATTTTTTTCCCCAGGGAGGGCACAAATGCAGTCTCTCACTACCAAAAATTATGCAGTTGGGTTTCCTACATTTGAAGAAATCACAGGGGCAGCATTTCTGGAGTAAAATAGATAAGACTCACCCTGGAAAAACCACCTTTGGGATCCCGGTATCTCCCCAGAGGGATCCCATGGATAGTGCTAACCAAACTCACAGGGAGCCGATGGTAATTCAGGGTTGGTAAAAAAGGACTGGTAATTCAATGCATTAATTTGTAATAAAAGATATATTCAGATAGAGGGCTGGTTTGCTCTCTTCTTGGGTAACTGAACTTAGGAACCGATTGATTGATTGATTGATTGATTGATGGGGTTTTGCTCTTGTCACCCAGGCTGGAGTGCAGTGGTGTGATCTGGGCTCACTGCAACCTCCACCTCACCTCCCAGGTTCAAGATATTCTCCTGCCTCAGGCACCCAAGTAGCTGGGATGGCAGGCATGCCACTATGCCTGGCTAATTTTGTATTTTTAGTAGAGATGGGGTTTCTCCATGTTGGTCAGGTTGGTCTTGAACTCCTGACCTCAGGTGATCCACTTGTCTCAGCCTCCCAAAGTGCTGGGATTATAGTCATGAGCCACTGAGCCAGGCCAGGAATTTAGAACTCATTATGTACGAGGCTTTGCTCTGGGCTGTTATCTCCTTCTTTCCTCATTCTTCATGAGGATTTGCTTTACTATTCTCTCTCTCTCTCTCTCTCTCTCTCTCTCTCTCTGTTGTTTGGTGGTTTGTTTCATTAGATTATAAAACTAATGTCATATGCTTCTTGAATTTGAGAGTGACTGGTGATTATGATCCCACTCATTCTCTCCTTGCTAGTAAGGAGCTTCAAAATAGACAAGTTTTATGGTAAGGGGAGGGAGATTTGTAAAACTGAGATGCAAGTCATTTCTAATGATAATATATTTTTACTACTCACAATAAAGAATAGAAAATAATAATTAGATGTTGTAAATAATGATTAAATACATAGTAAATAATGATTAGATGTTGTAAGTCAAGCATCTAATTTTTTTTTTATCCAATAAGGGTGTTTTATTATTTAATAATCTTTTGGACATAACTGAAAGGCTTATGTGAAATCATAGAATTTTGGGCCTAGAAGGGACCTCAGCAATCACATAATAAAAATGTATTTTACAAATGAGGGATCTGTGGCTCAGAGTAGAGACAGCATAGGTCGTCAAGAAAGTGACCATGTTCTCTGGATGTAGCACCAGCACTGTGGTGATGGTACATTCAAAAGGAAGCCTCAGCATTTCTACTGTAATCACACTCATTCAAGGAAAGCTGTCTTCAGCAGGTAATTTGCCCTTTAGAGAGCATGTACCCTTTGATTTTACCTGTCTCCAAACTGATTATTTGCTTATTTTAATAGTAAAATCACACCCCTGGGTACAGATTTAAGATGCTCATGAGACATGTGATGTATAAACAAGCATGTGCAGCTGCACATGTGCACCCAGAGGACCACCCAGAATGTGCTTACTAGTAACAACTCTTCCTACCACCTTAGGAATAATCAGGTAAGACCTCCATAAAGGGAGTCTCCTCAGTGCCAGTCTTTGCTGTCTCATCCTTATGAACAGCCCACCCTGAATTCTCTCTCAGGGTGTACTTTCTATTCTGAACCTCACTTTCAAAATATTCTTTTTTTTTTTTTTGCAATATACTACTCTATGCTGCACTTTTCTTTTGCTCTGTGTCTCTTTTTTTGTTGTTTGTGTTTTTCTTTTTGCTTTGCTGTGTGTCTCTTGTTTAAATTCTTTTAAACCAAGAAGACAAGAACTGAGGTATCACAATAGCTATCAACAGAGTGACTGAGTTACCTCATATTTTCTTGGCTACATCAAGATATTATTGTGATGTTTACCTGAAGTATCCAGTGGCTGAGAGACTGATTCTTTGTTCAAATGCAGCTTCTATCTGTGGAATGGGCATATTTAGTTAAAGTGAAACAAATATACCATCTGCTAGGTGAAAACAAAAATATCCAATCTAAAATTGACATCTCATAATTGTTGCTGGTGCTTTGCTACCAATAATAGAACTCATCATCATATTATTTTTCCTTAACTGGCACATTAACAATTTCCTTCCGATTGAGTTTAGAAGTCTGGGTTGAGCAAACATAAAATAGAGTCCTGCTGCACATCCATGAGATAGGGGCTTAGTGCACAAGGTATTTGGACTTCATTTCTGAATGTTAGAACTTTATAGTAAGTGTGTGGGTAAATGTGAAATAATTGTTCTAATGAAAAAATAGGATATTGTAATGTTGGAGTAAGTCAGTCATCTCTTTTGAGGCATATTCGACAGCAACTAGGCCTTTTAGTTTTCCTCCTAACCTACCCAAAACATTGTGTGTGTGTGTGTGTGTGTGTGTGTGTGTGTGTGTTTGTGTGTGTGTGTGTGAGTGAGTGGCTTAGGAAGGCTTATTCTTTTTCTTTTCTTTCTTACTTAAGTAAAGTGTATTCTTCTTGTACTTCTATTTCTCCTTCCAGTGATTGCTGTTTCCTGTGTGCTTTCTCCATACACACCTGGCATACATCCTGGAGTAGCCTTCTCAACCTTTAGAGATCCTGCCTGTTTGCAGAAATCCACTCAGCTGGGGAAGAAGCAGGGAGCATGCTCCATCACTGTGACACTTAGAGGAACTGTCTCTCTGTGTGGTGGCTGCGCACTGCTGTGGTGCTCTCTCAGCACTGGTTTAGATTGTTTTATCATTTGTAGTAACAAAGGGAGTGGAATACTCACCCAGTCTTCCCATGTACCTTCCGGATGTTTCTTAATGATGGGCTCAAGGCGTTTCAGAAGGATCTGACAAGCATTCTTGAAGTAGTAAAGAATGGAATCCACATTAGAGAAGAGCCCAGTGGTTCTAGTGGTTACAATTTGTGTGAACGTATATTCATTGATGGGTCAGCAAGTGCTATGGAATACATGATCCTGATGCATTGGGAACACAACTCCTGCCCTTGAGAACAGTATCGGTTACTGGAGGTTGTTTTGTTTTTTTCCCCCCACTTCTGGCTCACTTCCTGTGAAAATATGGGTTCAGCTGAATTTCTACTCTCAGATCCTCTTTCTTAGAATATTCAGGTTCTTAACTTCTCTCTCTCTCTCTCTCTCTCTTTTTTTTTTTTTTTTGAGACAGGGTCTCACTCTGTCAACCAGGCTAGAGTGCAGAGGCATCATCTTAGCTCACTGCAACTTTGACATCCTAGGCTCAAGTGAACCTCCCACCTCAGCCTCCTGAGTAACTGGGACTCCAGGCACTGACCACCAAGCCTGGATGATTTTTGTCTTTTTTGTAGAGATGGGGTTCCATCATGTTGCCTAGGCTGGTCTTGAACTCCTGAGCTCAAGCCATCTGTACACTTCAGTCTCCCAAAGAGCTGGGATTACAGGCCTGAGCCACTGTGCCTGGCACTTAGTTTTTTCTTTTCCTATATCTTTCGTATTTTTGTATACTTCTTTTGTATTTTCTGCCTATTAAATGGAAAACACATCCTGTTTTCATTCAAATTTGTGCTTTCCAGTCTGTAACAATGACATGCCAGGATCCTCTGCGTCTGAACTCTCCCTCCATCTGTTCATTCACCCACTATCAAACTACAATAAAGGCCCTGGCTTTGAGTATGAAATGAGAAAGCAATTAAATGTACTTTATAATGACCTTGAGCCACAAAGTTTCTGATCTTTAGCAGAAACCTAAAACTTCATACTCTAGAAGATGGATTGACTCTTACTTTGGGCTGACAGCTCCCATATACTCTGAGCTGTTCCTCTTTTATGTTTGACCCTACTCCAGATTAGATCTCATGCATTTGAGGTTTCTTACACATTTGTTTCAAGCAAAAGAGAGTCTCTGCTTTGTTGTTCCCTAAGAGGTATCACCACAAAATTAGCTCTGATTTGAAAGGTGTTCCAGTTGGTGGTATCATTGCAGTGTTCTGGAAAAATATGGCTTACCACAGTATCCAGTGGAAAAGTGAACAGTTTGCAACAGAAACATGACAAATAGACATATTTCAAAAGTACATGCAATCAGATATTTGAATTAAGAAATATGAAGTCATGATTCTATTCTGAGACAGTGAAAATTAAGCACTTTTAAAAAACATCAATTAAAAAAATAATTACAAAGAAAGCTTTAAGTACTCAGTAGAATACCACTGAAGACAATGATTCAATTGCACCCTGTCTCCTTGCCTGGGGTCTGCCTATCTGCCTGCAAGAACTTGTTTATGTTGGAGGAAACTTGCACAGCTCTGCATAACTTGGTACCCAAATTTCTTCTTGCTCTGTCTCCCAGGAACAGAGACTGCCCGCTCACCAAAATCCATTCTTCCCTTCTTCCATAGCAGCTGGACACATGGTTTCCCGCTACTTTATATTTCCCATCCTCCCTTGCAGTTAGACATAGCCTGAAACTGGTTCTGCTAATGGACTATGAGTGGATCATGATTTCTAGATCTGGATCAGAGTCTTCCATACCAGTTCCTCCATATTCATGGGAATGATGACACCCAGGGAAACTTGGAAAGCTACATGTTGAAGATGGTGGAGACTTCATCAATTTGGGTGTTTGAATGACCAAACAATGCTCGGGACTGCTATGTGTACAAGAAAGGACTTTTACTGTTTTGAGTCTTTACATTTTGTGCCTGTCATCTCAGTTTAGACTACTCCAAATACATTCTCCCAACATTTTAGTTATCCCAGACTATGTTTAGTAATACAGATGACTTCTCTGAAGTTAAGTATTGTACCTGTATCTAGCCATAAAAACCAGAGATGTGGGAGAGGCAAACACCAAGGAGAGACAGGAAGACTCACCTGCACAGCTCTGCCATTGACATCTGCCCCAATGGATGCCGCTGTAGCAATTGTATTGGGCACTGTTGCTGTGCCCGTTTCACAGATGTGTATATACGACATAGGTATTTTTAACTCCCGGCTAGCCACCTATGAGAAACATCAATATTTTCAAGTTCAGCAAGGACTTCTATAAAGATGAGTCATTACTTTTCTTAATAAAAATTATTTGTTATTACATCCATGTTATCCTTTTAAGACGAAAATAATGTACTTTATAAGCATCAAAACTACTCTTTTTTTGGAAGGCTTCATGATGATTTTTACAGTGTTTTCTTGGTAATATTCCACAGTGGTTCTTTTCAAATTTAGTCCATTTAGAATGTTAAGAATTTCCTTTTTTCTAAGTTTTAGATGTGTAGGAAGTAGGCCAAATTGAGATTTTCAGGCACTTATTTGGTTCAGTGGCAGGAAGAAAAAGAGAGACGGAGGGAGAGAGAAAAAAAACAGAGCGAGAAAGAGGGGGAGACTGAGATAAGATTGATTGACTGACTCAGAATTTGGTCTGAAATCTGTCAATATCAGTATCAGATGAACTTGGAATGACCCCGAGGATCTTTTTCTTGCTCTTATCCTCCCCTCTTTTTTCTATTTGTTCTACCTTGCTTATATTACTCCAGTATTTACTGTTCATTTTTTCTGTTTTTTAAATTTCTCAACAAAGTTATTATTATTACTACTTTAGAGATGGGATCTCACTGTTGTGGCCCAGGCTGATCTTGAACTCCTGGGCTCAGGTGATCCTCCTGCTTTAGCTTCCTGAGTAGCTGGGGCTACAGGCACATGCCACTGAACCTGACTTCTTTTCTGTTCTTTTCCTTCCAGTTTCTCTAGCAAACACTTGGAGATTAAGATATTTAATCAAGAAATGAAAAGGAAAGAAATGAAAGAGAAGAAAGGAAAAAGAAAAAGCATTATTTTGGCTTATGTTGTCTTTTTGTTTTTACAAAAAACACCTTCTCTAGAGATCCTCTTCCCAAACGCCAATCTTCTGACTAATGTCATTCAATATGAAGTTTCTCCAGCAAGATGCAAAATGAAAAAAAAGGGATGTCTTTGTTGTTTCTTGCTGGTGAAAATTGAAAGGGAATGTATTAGTTCGTATAACTGGGCAGGACAGATGGAGTTAGTGTGAGGTACATGTGTATCTAGGGGCTTTGTGGTCTCAGCAGGGTCTTCTATCAGCCTCACACATTTGCTTTCCTTTCTATGATGGCCACACCATTGACGCCAGTAGACAGGCTCCATCCATGGCACAGAACTGCCTGTGATAGCCCCTGGCTTACAGCATAGTACCTAAACAGACACAGGGGAAAGATGGCTCCTTTCTCCCAGCGTCTACATGTCAATCCTGGGAAAGGATCTGATTGGCCTTGCTTCAATCCTGTGCCCTTTCCCAGAGTCAGTGGAATTCTGGAACCATGGTTGACCAGAAGTGGGTCTTGTGCATACATCTGTAGCAGGTGTGGGAGCAAGGATGGGGATGGAGCCGAAAGGTACAAGAATTGAGGAGTCTTTCAGAAATATATGGCATGTGAGAGGTACAGCACTCCACATGAGCTAAGGGGCTGGATGGTCAAAAGCTACAGATGTGCACTATAACAATCTAATACATTTGTCATTGAGTTAAATTTATTTAATTTAAAGAATTCTTGTTTTTCTCCTGAGATTATATTCTTACTAATTGGTATGTATGTATGTGTGTTAAATATCTTAAAAAATTGTAGGATGATGGCAGTTGGTGAAATACTTGTCCTTGTCAAAATAAAACATTAGCAACCTGATATTGTTGTCTAAAATGCAAACATTAAAACTATAAAAGCTGAGAAACTTCTGCTCCTGTTTGCCTGCTTGGAGTTCCCACGAAAGGGCTCCATGGGTTTCTTAGTGGCATTTTCACTAATGATCACCCCTATCCATGAACCCTGGCCAAGCTCTGGGACTGTTTGCATACACGCTGGATTTCTGCCACCACAGCCATTCTATTTGATATGTAAGAAGCCTTCCAACCAAATCGTCAAGATCTCAGCATTTGAATACAGGGAGTCAACATTTACCCTAAAAGACGAATCCCAACTTTCAACAATGTATAGACAGAGTAATGGTTTATTTATTTTACCTGTAGCATTTTGGTGTGAATACCTTGTCCCAGCTCACTGCCTCCATGTGTGACCAACACAGACCCATCTGTATAGATATGAACCAGTGCAGCTGCCTAGGAAAAGAATCCGGAAGGCACATCTCAGTGCAAGTTAGCATTTGGTGAGGTTCAGTATAAAACATGAGGTAGTGAAACACCAGTCTCAGGGAGTAGAGGGGGTCAGAGAAGCAAGCTTTCTTGGTAGGATTCTGAAGCTTAGTTCTGTTTTGTGCAAAAAGTCGTCTATAAAGAACATCCCTCTTGGTTTTCATTGGAGCCCCTTTGGGTAACTCAGGAGTTGAGAGTATTGGTTCCAGTTGTTTGAAAGTCACTCTCATGCCTAAAATCACTGGCTGACCATTAAGCTAATTATTTAAATGTTTTAGGCACTTGCACGTACCATGCTCAGCTCTAGATATGTAAAGATGAGCAAGGCATGGCTCTTCAAGCTGCTCACAATGTGGTGGAAAGACAGGCTGCAGATCAAGTCATTGTAATATAGGATGATTAGTGAGATAATGAGGGTGGCATAGGGGATCTTGGGAGACCTGGGAGGACAGGTCCAGCTCCTGTGCTGCTCAGGGATGACAAGTGATAACGGAACAGAATCACAGACTGAAGAAGGGTTTGCCATGGGTAAGGTGGGCAAAACCCCCACAACCTGTGAGGGAAAGCCCAGCTCCTTTTTCCGCTGGGAGGCCCTGTGGGATTTGGTCTCTTGTGCTGTCCTGTTGTCTCCTGCCTTGCCTCCAAGTCTGGCCCCACTGCAGCTCCTTGCTTCTGTCCTATCTCTCGTCCTGGTCGCTTCTCCTGTTCCTTACCTGCCTGCCCAGCCTGCAGGCCCACGCCCCACAGTCCCACAGTCTTTGTTGTGTTAAAATTTCCTCACATGCATGTCATCCCCATCTGGGAAGGATCAACCACCTCCTTCTTTGTGCTTCTCCTTACAGGAAAACTGGGTTGAAAAGTGTCTCTCCCCTGCCCCTTAAAATTCATGTCTGTCTGGAACCTCAATGTGGAACTTTATGTAGTTCTTTGCTGATGCAACTAAAGATAAAATCATATTGGATTGAGGGGGCCCTAAACTCAATGACGGGTGTCCTTGTAAGTGGGCCACAGAAGATGAAGGCAGCAGCTAGAGTTATGTTGCCACAAGCCAGGGAATACCAGGAGCCACCAGAAGCTGGAAGAGCAAGGGAAGATTCTTCCCTAGAGCCTTCAAGGCAGCATGGCCCTGCTGATGCCTTGAGTTTGAACTTTGGGCCTCCAGAATTGTGAGGGAATAAATTTATTGTTTTTGAGTCACCCAGTAGTGGCACTTTGTTAGAGCAGCCATAGGTAACGAATCCTGGAGGTAAGAGGCTCTTCTCTGAGAGTTTTATCATGGAGAGCACCTGGTCTTAACTCATCTTTGTGTCCTGTACATACTTCTGAGCAGGTCCTGGCATGGTGTGGTGGCTCATGCCTGTAATTCCAGCACTTTAGAAGGCTGAGGAGGGTGGATCATCTGAGGTCAGGAGTTCAAGATCAGCCTGACCAACATGAAACCCTGTCTCTACTAAAAATCTAAAAATTAGTTGGTTGTGGTGGCACACGCCTGTAATCCCAGCTACTTGGGAGGCTGCGGCAGGAGAATCGCTTGAACCTGGGAAGTGGATGTTACAGTGAGCTGAAATCGTGCCATTACACTTCAGCCTGGGTGACAAGAGCAAAACTCCACCTCAAAAAGAAAAAAAAGTCTCTGAGCAGGTCTGAATCACAGGGATACTACATCAATGTTTGATAAATTGGACAAAGAGAAGGTGGTATTTTTTCTTCTAGGAGGAGGAGGAATGAAGGCTTCAGCCCATTTGTGTCTTGAGATGCCTGGAGGCCCAGAGTTGGCTCAGAGGGGCTCAAGAGCATTGAGGCTTGTGGCTGATAATAGGATTTACTCACTGTGGGCCTTTTGGCTCCGAGAACAGAGATCTCACTGCCAGTTTAGAGGGTAGGTGTTCCAGCTTTGTGAATCATCACTGACCTGGAATAACACCTTTCTACTCCTAGCCAGGTGATTCTAGGGCGCCTCAATTTAGAACTTTGTGGGGAAGCTGGAGGGTATTCAAATGGAGACTTAAAGTCATTGCTTGATTTGAAGGTTTTTTTTTTTTTTTTTTTTTTTTTTTTTTTTTTTTTTTTGAGACGGAGTTTCGCTCTTGTTACCCAGGCTGGAGTGCAATGGCGCGATCTCGGCTCGCCGCAACCTCCGCCTCCTGGCTTCAGGCAATTCTCCTGCCTCAGCCTCCTGAGTAGCTGGGATTACAGGCACGCACCACCATGCCCAGCTAATTTTTTGTATTTTTAGTAGAGACGGGGTTTCACCATGTTGGCCAGGATGGTCTCGATCTTTTGACCTCGTGATCCACCCGCCTCGGCCTCCCAAAGTGCTGGGATTACAGGCTTGAGCCACCGCGCCCGGCCGATTTGAAGGTTTTTTTGTAATGAGATGAGATATTGGTTCCCGTGGATGATGGCAGAGTATAGGCTGTGGTTTAGATGTGGTGTGGCCATACAGGTGAAGGGAGGTGTGTTATAATAAAAAGTAAATAACTGATCTTTGATCTTTGCCTTGGTTCTTGGTTCGGACTGCTTAAAGCCTTGGAATTTACTGTTTTTTTCTGCTGATGAGATGACTCATGCGAAGGGCTTTGGTAGCTTCAGGATGGAGGCTAGGAGGCAGTGCACGTTGACCTTTCAGTCCTCCTCCCCTGTCTTCTTGGGATGGGGGCTAGAGATTGAGTTCAATCATTAATGGCCAGTGCTGTACTCAATCATGCCTGTGTAGTGTAACCTCCATAAAAACCCCAAATGATGCAGTCTGGGAGCTTCTGGGCTGGTGAGCACATGGAGGTGCTGGGAGGGTGTGTGCCTGGAGAGGTCAGGCAAGCTCTGCCCCCCTCCCTATCCCTTGCCCTATGCAGCTTTTCCATCTGGCTGTTCCTGAGTTGTATCCTTCATAGTAACAATCGTAAGTAAGGTGCTTTCCTGAGTTCCATGAGTCATTCTAGCAAATTATCCAACCAGAATGGGGGTAGTGAAAACCTCCAAATTAGTAGTTAGCCAGGCAGGAGTGTGAGTAGTCAGGGCCCTCCGTTTGAAGCTGGTGTCTCAAACAGGGGCGGTCTTGTGGGACTCAGCCCTTGATCTGCAGAGTCTGCGCTAATTCTGGTAGTTAGCGTGAGAACAGAATGGTTGGACATCCACTTGGTGTTGGAGTTGTTTGGAAAAGACAATATTTGGCGTCAGAGAGGAAATCACACAGGGAGCTTTCAAGTTTCTCTGATGCCACAGCCTTTGATTCCATCTAGTTTGCAGACACTGTAGCTAACTTTCTTGTGACAGAAATGTGACCCAAAGGTGCAGGGGTCTCATCCTACCCACCAGAGGAGGAAGAGCACTGAGAGGTGTGTCTGAGCTCTCCTGGGAGGGGAGACAACAACAGCGTTCCAGGAAGCCAGCCAAGTACTGCTCTACATTCACTATCTCACTGAGTCCTCATCAATCTTCAGACAGAGTTCTTCTTCTTATTATAGGTATTATAACTGGAAAAGCTGGGGCTCAGAGAGGCTGAATAACTTAATATCGTACAGCTAGTCAATATGGAGCCGAGGATTTCTCAGGTCTTCCTGACTTCAGTTGATTAGGGATGTGGGGCCACTGATTTATTTTCTAAGGAGGATTTCTTTCAGCAAGACAGCTTTTGTGGTGTGTGTTGCGGGGCGGGGAGGGAGAGAGACAGAGAATCTATTGGCTGCCGTAGCTGGGCCCGAGTGGAAAGGTGCTTTTAGTGGCTGCACACGAAGATCTCATGCATGTAAGATTTTCCCAGTTGTTGGTTTTTCTGCTTTGGGCAGACAATACTGGGGAGGCAATAACCGTTTTCAGTTTCCCAAACAATTTTCCTGTACACGACCCACTGGGACTGCAAGATGAGTCTGTCCCAGGGCTTGCACCATTTAGTGGACTCATGTGTATGCTTCCCTTCTTCCTCCCTTCTGGACGTGTCCTGTGTATGGCTTGCCTCTTTGCAAATTTACCTGGGAGGATTTCTGGACTCCACCCCCATTTCCCCATCAGAATTGACCCAGATTCTTGGGAGAGGTGGCTTGAAACTGCCAGCTGGATAGGGTGGCGTGAAAGGGCTTCTCTGCCCAAGACTTAGCAGGTGCACCAAGGAGCACTGTGGGTGTCTGGGGGCACAGACTGGGAGGACTTCCCTAAGATGTGAGACCCCTGAGCTCAGAAAGCACAGCACCACAGGCCTTGTGGGGTCCTGTTCTCTTTTGGAATAGTGAGGAGTCAGTGGGAGTCTTTACTCCAACTTGCCAGTTATGCTGCTGCAGGTCTCATGCTTGCAGGTGCTGTTTTCTACCATTGAGAACTTTTTCTACTGCATTGTATTAAAAATGCTTGCAGATGGGGTGTTACTCTGGACAGTTTTGCACATTTCTCTTAGGTATTAGCAGAGAAGGGCTCAGTGCTCTAAGAAATGAGACATTTTTCAAAGTCCACAGAAGCTGACTGGGCCAGGAGTGTGTCTAGTACGAGGGTTATTTATCCTATGTACAAGTCTTACCTGATGATAGCTTGTTGCAGCAAAGCCAACTGAAAACTTCATGGGAATAATGGCAATGCCTTTCTTCTTCCAATAATTCTTCTTATTGAACTCTTCTGCTTGCATTCTTCTGCTGTGAAAGGAAGACTTGTCCAGACATTCATTCCAGCATCTTATCAGGGTCTCGGGGTTGAATGCTTGATTGTAGATGGTTTTATCAACTGTTTTGTACATATTTTTCTCCCTAATCTGAAACAGGTGTGAAATTCAGTCAACAGTTATGGTAAGACAGAAACTGATAGCCAAATAGAGACTTGAAAGGCCTCTCCACTAAAGCACAAGCTGTAGAGAAGGGAAGACAGGGTGTTTTCTTTGAATGGCACCTACTTTTGCAAAAATAATAGGGGTTATTTTTTATCTCTTCATCAGTGCACCAGTTAGGGTCTCTCCCCACTTGAAGTGGAGGGTAGCGGGTGGAGACTGGTCCATGAAAGGCAGTGGGATGGAGGGGCCTAAGGAGGTAGATTTTTATTTTCTTTTTTTTTCTGCAAGATTCAGAGGAAGGAGCAGAGCTGGTAGGCAGTACACTAAAGCAAGGGTTTATTGTCATAACTGAAGATTTGTTCTGCCAGGGAGGAATAGCATTGCAGATAATAGCAGATCCCCTCTAAGTCGTCCAATTGCCTTTAGAATGTATGAGTAAATCTTTTTTGGGTTTCTTTGGGCCTGGTGTGGTGGCTTACACCTGTAGTCCTAGCACTTGGGAAGACCAAGTGCTAGGATTAGGCGGGAGGATCACTGAAACTCAGGAGTTCAAGACCAGCCTGGGCAACAATAGTGAGACCTTATTTCTAATCTCTCGAAAGAAAGAAAGAAAGACAGAAAGAAAGAAAGAAAGGAAGGAAGGAGGACAGTTTACTTGAATAGGAAGGAAGGAAGGAAGGTGGGGAGGGAGGGAGGAAGGAAGGAAGGAAGGAAAACAGTTTATTTGAATAGGAGGAGAGCCTGCTGAGACAGGCAGGCTTTTTTTTTTTTTTTTTAATCATCTCCATCTTATTTTAATTACAATAAAAGAATTATTATTATTATTGGCAACAACATTAGAGTAATGCTATCCAGTATATTAAGCTAATATTTTAATGAATGTTAAATTATTTGATTCTTGCGGGAACTCTGTGAGGTGAGTCATTTATAGATAAGGAAACTGAACTGCACAGAGATTGACTCTCTTGCTCATGCTGTTCTACCTGCCTAGATCATATTTCCACCATCTGTGCCTGTTATTTTTCAAGGCCTATCTCAAGTGCCATCTTCTCCAGAAAGTTCTTCCTGGTTCCCCTCTCCCATGCCAATGTGATGCCTTCCTTCTTTGGTACCCATTAAATATGGTACATGAGTTCTCTTAGGATAACTACTACCTTCCTTGTACAAAATATTAGGTGTTCATTTGTTTGTAGAAAGTATCCCAACAATCACAAACCCAGAATTCCTGTTGAATTTAGGGACAAAGCAGTTCTAGGGACAATACACAGAGTTCTTGCTGAAGCAGGGGGTCTATACTGGGGAAACAGGAGACAGAAACGGAAAAAGTAGGGTGGGCTCTGATTGGAATGCGTGAGGAGTGGAAGCAAGTTATTGACAATGATCTCAGTTCCAGATGCTGCCTCTCTCTGGTCTAGCATACTGTACATCCTGTGCACCTCATGGTCTATTGTGAAAAATAATATTTTCAGAGGATGTTCTTCTGGTGGTGTTTCTCAAAAGTTTTCAAGTGCACCAGTAATTCCACTTCTGTAAATTTATCCTGCAGATATACTTACACAATATGGCAAACATATAACTGGGTACATATGTGCCAAGATGTTCTTTGCAACATCATTTTAATGGCCAAAATGATAACAATCATTATGTATATTAATAGTGGAGTGGCTAAATAAGTTATGGTACATTTATATTACGTAGTACTATTCAGTCATGAAAAAGATCGAAGTAGACCATTCTACTGACATGGAAAGATGGCCATGGCATATTATCCAGGAGAAGAAAGAAGGGGCAGAGTAATATGTATGCTATAGTCCCATTCTGGTAAATAACCATACCTGTGCACATATATGTTATATGTGAATGTTTAGGTATGTGTGAATGAATGAATACAAATGGGTGGCCAAAGACAGAAAAAGGAATAGAGTGATAAACATGGAATTGTTAACAATGATTATCCTTGACCAAGAGGGATGGGTGTGGAAAAAGCGGCATTCCCTTGTTTTGATCACTTCAGTGTGTTTTGAATTTTAAACAATTATTTTGGCACAAATTAAAAAAAGAGATCTTTGCATAAGTAAGTAAGGAGTAAGATAGGGTGAGGTGAGATTTTTTAAGGTAGCTTTTAATTTACTTTGAATTCTGAGCCAGAGCTAATTCACTTGGTTCTTCTAATGTGTTCCCTTGGGTCAAAGTAGCTGGGTTTCCCACTGGTCTGATTCACCAACAACTTTGGTTATGACCTTGGTTACAACCTTACCTTTTCTGGTGGAAGGCCACATTTGGCTGCCACAGCTGTGATGCAAGATTCTGTTACTAGGGCTCCTTGTGGGAAACCAAATCCACGAAAGGCCGTATTGGATGGTAAATTTGTCATGCATGCACGGCCCTGGAACCTGAGGTGGTGAATTTTATATGCATTTTCCAGCTTTAGTATTAGAAATTCTGTTACCTAAAAAGGGATATTCACGTTTATCATCACTTTTTTTTCATGTCTCTGAAAGTCAAGTGCAGAGTCAAACTGCTTGTGGAATTTACTACATTAGGAAATAAACTTCATGAAGAGTCATGTAGAAATTTGGCATTCTACTCACAATCCAGCATATTGCTGCTTTCTGGTGTACATACCAGCTCAGAGTCATCCAGCGTGCACCCTCCATTAATGAAGCACTCGATGTCTAGAGCTTTGATCCGCCCGTTGTTCATGAATCCTACCTGTCACCAAATGATGGATATTTACTGAGAGGTTCAAAATTTCCATGCCAATTGCCAGGCCATAGCCCTGTTGCCCCATAGGGCAGGACAGAGGCCAGACCCATCTCCCTGTTTGCTTTATGGTGTACCATGCCTTGCTTGACCGATGGAGACTTCTTCTGAGCTGAATTTTGCTGAGCTCTTTCCTTCCAACATATGATTTTCTGGCTTCACAGTCAGCATGGAATTCTAAAGACCATGCTTGTCTCCTGGAATATAATTGCCACCCTCTTCATTCTTATTCTTGGAAGATTCCCCTTCATTTTTTACTGACTTTCTTTCTAATTTAGTCTGTGGTTTCCTCCCTGGTGAAAAACTCTCTGGAATTTCAGAATGTGTTGAAATAAATCACAGTCTGTCTTGATATGGGAAAACCTCTGAAGCTGAGGTCCTTGAATGGATGCATGGGACTGCTCTCATTTCATTAGGTGGTGAAGGTGCTTTGTACATGCTTACCAGACCTAACAAATGTGAGCTTGTGCTGTTGTTACTGTTTGGGAAGAGCTTAAGGCAGCTTGGATTCTTTCAATGTCTCCACTCCCCTCCACCCACCCAGACCATTTTGTCTATACAGTCCACATTTAAAAGAAAAATCCCCACTTTCCATCTTAGTTCTACCAAAAGAGGATTGGCCCAGGGCCCTTGGCCTTTCTGAAAGCAAGGATAAAAAGAAGGATCCATATGACTATATAACTATAGGGTTAACATTATCTACTCCAGGAGAAAATATTGGATAACAAACCACAGCACAGTTAGGAAAATCCACAGATTCAGAACTTATGGTAATTGTGACACATGGCTAAGCTGGAGTTTACCTTTGACTTTCTTGAAGAAAGGACTACTAAACAAAATAGTACTACAAATAAGGTAGCAGAATCCTTAAACGATTTCATATAAAGTTTTCAAAAATTTGGAGGAACCTATTTGTGCATAAACACGTTATCCTAATTTACAAATAGTTCTGAATAACCAAGCAAAACTTTGTTAGCTATGTCTAAAGTGTTTATATATATATACACACACACACACATATATATGAATTGAAATTGTTTCTTAAAAAATAAAACTTGGATTTTTTTGTTTTTTTCTTTTTTGAGACAGAGTCTCACTCTGTCACCCAGACTGGAATGCAGTGGCATGATATCTCAGGTTGATATCTGCAACCTCTGCCTCCCAGGTTCAAGCCATTCTTCTGCCTCAGCATCCTGAGTAGCTGGGATACAGGTGTGTACCACCAGGCCCAGGTAATTTTTTATATTTTTAATAGAGATGGGGTTTCACTATGTTGGCCAGTTTGGTCTCAAACTCCTGACCTCAGGTGGTCCACCTGCCTCAGCCTCCCAAAGTGCTGGGATTACAGGTGTGAACCACCACGCCTGACCAAAAAATAAAGTAAAACTTGGATTTTTCAAAAAATCGATTTCCCTCTTTTTAGTTATACTTTATATTACTATAATTACCAAAATATTAATAGTCTAGAATCTTCTTAACAAATATTAGTACTAAAACTATCTCAAAACTGTGATAAGAGCACAACCATCACCACTATAACAGCAATTACTTCAATCTCAGCAGCGTGTCTCTACATTGCTCTTGGTCCTAGAAGGTAACAATATCTGTGACTTTTGATATCTACATTTTAAGGCAAATAAAAAGTTTAATTATTAGAGAGGTTCTTCTTCTTTAATTATAAAAATCTCTAATGCCAATGGAAGAAATAAAATTGTTCTGTGTTTTGGAAAACTGTGGCTTTAGTAACACGGGGAAGATAATTGAAGGCAATGACAAAATCAGATAGGGAATCTAACTATGTGTATGCTACAAGCAATTCCCACATAAAGCATGTTAGATATGACTTAGATTACATTAGAATGATTCTAACAGAATCAGTCACAAATTTGAAAAGTAGTGTTGTAAGCTCAAGGCCAGCAAGTATTTTTATGACTGTTTACATTATAACTACATAAAAATGCAGTGAATGCAGTTTGAAACAATTTTATTATTTTATTTTATTTTATTTTATTTTTTTTTTTTTTGAGATGGAGTTTCACTCTTGTTACCCAGGCTGGAGTGCAATGGCGCGATCTCAGCTCACCGCAACCTCCGCCTCCTGGGTTCAAGCAATTCTCCTGCCTCAGCCTCCCCAGTAGCTGGGACTACAGGAATGCGCCACCATGCCCAGCTAATTTTTGTATTTTTAGTAGAGACGGGGTTTCACCATGTTGACCAGGATGGTCTTGATGTCTTGACCTCGTGATCCACCCGCCTCGGCCTCCCAAAGTGCTGGGATTACAGGCGTGAGCCACTGCGACTGGCCTGAAACAATTTTAAATTCACTACTTACTTATATTTTTTTCCTACATGCAAAGAGCTTTTGTGACACTATCATAACCACTTGGAAAAAACATTTGTAAAAAATGATTTTGCAGTTAAAATGATCAAATTGCTTCCAAACATTTCTACTGAAAAACATTTGTATAGTCAAGAAGGTTTGGCATAACAAGCTTGTACCTTCTATCAGCGTTTGTTTTTGAGGAATCACTAATGTAAATCCTTATTCCTTCGAGTAGTGTTCTGATCATTATTTGAAATCGTATTTTTATCATTAAACTTCTTCACAGTTATTTATTAGATTAAAAGTTCCTCATAAAATATTATGAATATTCAAATATGCAGCATCGTCATTTAATATTTCAGACGCTAAGCTTGTTTTTAGAGTTCAGCAGAATCAAAGTGATAGGAAAGAACAAAGCCATTCAGATAAAATCAGATTATTTATTTCTGAGAAGGGTCTCACTCTGTCGCCTAGGCTGGATTGCAGTGGCACAATCTTGGCTCACTGTGCCCTCCACCTCCTGGGCTCAAGGGATCCACCCACCTCAGCCTTCCAAGTAGCTGGGATTACAGGCATGCGGCACCATACTCAGCTAATTTTTGTATTTTTTTTTAGAGACACAGTCTCCCCATGTTGCCCAGGCTGGTCTTAGAACTCCTGTGCTCAAGTGATTTGCCTGCTTTGGCCTCCCAAAGTGGTAGGATAACAGGTATGAGCCACAGTGCCCAGCCAAAATGAGGTATTTGAAATTTCATCTTTAATACTCACTTTATATTTTCCAAATAATGGGTGCCTTCCTCCAGTTATTAACATATCATCTTCACGATCAAGGACAAGACGAATAGGATGACCAGTTCTAAAGAAAATAAATCTTAGGTTCTCCATCCATCTACTCATTCACCCATCCACTCATATTTATCCATCCCCTCATTTAACTATCTACCCACCCATCAGTGTATCTGCCTATTATCCATCCATCCACCATCCATCCTCCGACTCTTTATTCAACCACCCATCCATTTATCCAGCCATTCATTTATCCTGTATAAATATGTTAATATCATACAATATGCTAAACACTAATGTGAATTAATGTATGACTAAATCATCATTGTCTCTGTAGTCTATAACTCAGTGATTGGAGATCATTTAATGATCATTGGAGATTGTTGACAGTATTAATGCCACATGCAGTTATGCTGAATTCTATAACTTCAAGTTTGAGCTTTACCCAGATCCAGCCATTTGCATTATCTCCACCACTAGTTACAAAAGAGAAAGAACGTGAACAGATAAATGCATACTTAACACTACTGAGAAAACAAGGCCAAACACTCATCCTAGGATGTCTGGATTAGCGTCTTCATTCTCACCCGTGAATGCTACTATGTTGGCCAAGTTGGGCCCTCATGTAGGGAGGAGCCTCAGCTTTTCTGCATCTCCAGAACAGAGGCTTCTAGACTTTAGAGTGCTGAAGAATACTCTGGAGTGCTAGTGAAAATGCATATTCCTGGGTCTTTGTACTAGGATTTGGATCCAGTGGGTCAGGGAGGGGCTTCAGAATGCATTTTTCTCAGTGATGTTGATTCAGCTGTCTTCAGGCAAATGTTGAAAACCACTATTCTAGTGCAGGGTTTCCTGGTCTTCTCTGATTGTGAGGACAATCTGGAGCATCAGAGAAATGCAGTTTCCGGGTCCATCCCCTGCTAATTCTGAATCAATGGTGTTGGGATGGGGAGGCAGAAATTTCTGTTTTGAGACAGGGTCTTGCTCTGCCACTCAAGCTGGAATGCAATAGTGGTATGAACATGGCTCACTGCAGCCTGACCTCCTGGGCTCAAGTGATTTTCCTGCCTTAGCCTCCTGAGTAGCTGGGACCACAGGCACATGCTACAATGCTCAGCTGTTTTTTCTTTTTTTAAAAAAATCTTTGTAGAGGTGGGGATTTCGCCATGTTTCCCAGGCTGGTCTTGAACTCCTGGGCTCAAGTGATTTTCCTGCCTCAGTACCCCCAAAGTGCTGGGATTATAGGCATCAGCCACCATGCCCAGCCGAGGCAGGAATTTCTATGACATCACGCAACTCTTACTATTAGGTTTGGGAACATTATTCTGGGGATCATTTAATGCATGGCTCTTGTCTACCAAGGTAGAGCTGTATCTTAAGGCACTAGTTGCCATATTTGGCTGCACAGTGGAACCACTGGGGAAGTTTTAAAATATACTGATGCCTGGATCAGTAAGGGGAAGCCTAGGCATTGGGATTTAAATGCTGTCCAGATGATTCTAACGTGCAGTCATGTTTGAAAAGTCTTAACGGCACAACACCTGGGGGGAATTCAATGAACTGATTATCCTGTGCTGAGTCCCCAGTGGGTGTGAGTGGAGAGGAGTTAATTATGGAAAGAACTGGAGAAGGATTCAGATCCCGCTTTTTGCCACTTCTCATTGAGGATGAGACATATTTATTTCAGGACCTAGCTCTGAACTACAGGAATTGTCAAATGAAGCAGGACCTGTGAACTTGGCATGCCCTTTGGGGCTCTGACAGAATAGTTAGCCACAGAAAATGAACCATTAACAGAAAAAGCAGCACCAACTAAACACAAATCTGAGGCATGAACAGCAAAGGAGTGAGCCTTCCACTGAGGTCAGCCTGGAAGCTGCCTTTGAGGATGAGTCATCTGTCCATTGAGCAGACTCTGAGGATGCAGCCCTTCCCAGGTGCAGGGAGGCAGAGGATGAAGAGCCTTTCTTTTCTTACCCCACCCTGTTCTTGGTCTGAGAGCAGAAAAGTCAGGGAGCAGCCTCCCCCCAGCAATCCACTTGGGCAGGGTGACTGCCCCACCCCTCTACAGCTCACATTCCCTGAAGCTCAGGAGGTATTCAGCTAATAGTACCACTGCTCCTTTCAATAGCATATTAGCTATTCAGAGTCCTGTGTACATTTGACTTTTGCAATAACTCTAAACGGGCGGGAGGGTAGGTATTATTTACATTTTGTAAAGAGACAGGAGGCTGAACTGACCAAGGACACACACATGGTTATGAAGGCAGCCCAGATGACTGTCAGCCACTGATTTGCCCCCAGCTCTGTGCATTTGATGCTATTCTGTATCCCTAAGCATCCCCAACCATACTTACTTGATAGCACCCACAGCCGCAATCGCCCCGAATACAGCTGGCTTTCCTGTCTTCCCTCCAAAACCTCCACCCACTCGTTTTACATGACAGGTGATCCTGCTGATGGGGATGTTTAAAGCAGAGGACACTGTTTTCTGTAAAAGTGAGATAAGAGTGAAATGGCAAATAAGCTTTTTGTTTTTTGAAACAACATCACAGCAGAATTCATTCATGTACCATTGGTTAAAAAAAAAAATGGAGACAGTCTGAATCTGTCTGGTGGGTTTCAGTTTAGTTTGTAAACACTGTTGATCTTCACAGAGCAGCCCTTCTAGCAGAAAAATCATATTTTTCCAGAAGGGAAACTGTCAGAGCCCTGGATTCCTATGAGAAGTTGGGTTCCTAGTCAAATACCTAGTCCTAAAGTCCCAAGGAGGTGAAAGCCGGCAAACTCCTGAAAACCTACCAAGGAGATGATGCGTTTGCAGCTAAAACCTAGAGTACTTTGTGACTGGGGAAATTAAAATGTACTAGAAAGTGATGTGTTGACTCCAAAGGTTATCTGTAAAGATTATTTTAGAGAAAAATCAAGTACAGAAATAATTTAGTGGTGTCATCCCATCACAGAGTTCATCTAAGCATGATACAAATGAACATACTCTTGAAATCTAAAGTTACTGTGACTATTTTTTAATTTACTTGAAAAGACAAAAAATAAAAACAAAATTCTGAGGTCTCAGCTGCATTGATGTCTGATGTCTAATGCTTGGATTTCAGGTTCCTGCAGGTAAAATGGCCAGCAACTATGAGGCTGTAGGATTGACCGCCATCATGGAATTAGGAAGGTGGGGACGTGGGTGTTATCCTGGACCTCACCTGCACGTGGGCTAGGTCCTGTGTGGATACATAAATGTCCAGTTCTTTGTCCTCTGTCTTTGGAATAACAAGCACTCTTTGTGTTTCCATGTAAAAATGTTCCTGTCCTCCAACATGGACCTCTCCTGTTAAGGATAAGCACAGAAAAACTCCTGATGGTGTGTCCTGGTGGGAAGCCACTGTCTTGGAGAATGTAAAAGCAAGTAAGATGTGGACTGGCTGGCCTGGATTTTTTTTTTTTTTCTGAGATGGAGTCTTGCTCTGTCACCCAGGCTGGAGTGTAGTGGCACGATCTCAGCTCATTGCAACCTCTGCCTCCCGGGTTCAAGTGACTCTCCTGCCTCAGCCTCCTGAGTAGCAGGGATTACAGTGTCTGCCACCACATCCAGCTAATTTTTGTATTTTTAGTAGAGATGGGGTTTCACCATGTTGGCCAACTTGGTTGATCTCAAACTCCTGACCTCAGATGATCCACTTGCCTTGGACTCCCAAAGTGTTGGGATTACAGGCGTGAGCCACTGCACCCCGCCTTGCTGGCCTGGATTTATCCTGATGAAGGAACCAGGCATTTGTCCTGTGGCAATCTGTTTCAGAGACTAGTTCTGAATAACAAATTAAAAATGGCAAGTTTTATTCCTTTGTTCCTTACTCTGCCCAAACCAAAATCTTAGGGACTTTTCCTCCATTTAGTCTATTGCTCCCCACCCCCGACCTCCCCAAAACAATGTGTGTGTGATGTGTGTGTGTGCGCGCACACACACACACACAGTTTGAAAGGAAGAGATGTAAGAGAGGTTTGGTAAAGCACCAAGACTTTAGAGGTTGGACTTTCTGAGGGGAAATCATATGCTTTTGATAGCTGCTTCAGAATAGAACCAGGCAGTATATTAACTATCCCCCATAGCTTACCTTCAATAATTTGGTCGACTTTTTCAAATGCCTCCTCAATGTTTCCTTGTTCAAGTTTTTTTTTAGGGCACAGGAATGAATTGTGTTTTATGGCATCCTAAATGTCAGGGAAAAAAAAAAGCACAAAAGTCAGTCCTTCTGACTTTTCCTTCCACTGGTAGTTTTTTCCTAAAAGCCAATACACTCTGGAAAATCACTATCTGCCGGGACAGATGAAAGGTGTCAAACAAGCAAGGGAATATTAGAGCAGTAGGCTTGTTGCAGAAATGAGGAGTCCGAGGAAAGATCTTCCAGATTTGCAGAAAAAAAACAGCAAGAAGGATTAGCGAAACCTTCAGAAGGAAGCTATGTTCAAAAATGAGGGCTGGGGACACTATGATGATCCCTGATCATAAATACTAATTTCTTATTTAAATGTGACTCTCCAGGGAACATGAGATAAGTCAAATGCATGATGGGTGAGGTTTGGGAACCTGCCTTTTTTTTTTTTTTTTTTTTTTTAACTTGAAGAAAAACACTGTGTTAGACTACTTAGGTAGCTCAGGTACACGAACCTCTCACTCAGGAATCTGAAAACTACGGAGGCTGTATTGAGGGGGAAGACACAAGTTGTTACACATCTCTGGGGCAGGAAAGCCCGGTACATATTGTATTAGGTTGCTGCAAAAGTAATTGCAGTTTTTGCTGTAAAAGTTTGCAATGACTTTTGCACCAACCTAACAGAAAGTTTGTTCCTTTCTTTGAGTATTTGGCATCATCTCATTAGGGCTCTTCTAGCTCTTTGTTCTATGTTTGTTTGTTTTTCTTTTTCCTGACAATAGCATGAACTGACTTACATAAAGACTGGTTCTGCAGACTGACGTACTGACAGCAGATCCTTGTTTAACCTCTAGAACCAAGGTATTTTTCCATACTTCCGAATGACACCTGTCTCCTGCCTTCTTGACTCTGATGGCCTCAGATGCTATAGCCTTTCTTGCTGATGATTCTCCTGGGAGCAGCTAATGTTGATGGAGAGCTTGCTTTGTGCTAAGCACTGTGCAATAACAGTGTATATACATGTATCCTCACGTTCATTCTGTTATGATCTCTGTTTCCTAGCTGAGGAAACTGGGCTTAGAGGGTTAAAAGAACTTTCTCAAAGTCACGCTGTAAATAAGTGATAAAGGCAGTGTTCAAGCCCAGGCTAAGTTTTCAGAAACGTCTTATCTAATGGTAAACTCTTGATTTTTTCAAAGCAGCAGACAATGAACAATATAGCTGAATTTTTTCATTTCCTGTTATACTAAGATCTCAGAAGCCATCCTGGTACATGTGAAAGTATGTTTATTGCCATACTGTAAATGTATCATAAGACAGTATAATCATTTTTTTTTTTTTTGAGATGGAGTCTTGTTCTTTCACTTAGGCTGGAGTGCAGTGCTGTGATCTTGGCTCACAGCAATCTCTGCCTCCCAGATTCAAGGGATTCTCGTGCCTCAGCCTCCCGAGTAGCTGAGATTACAGGCGTGCATCATCACACCCAGCTAATTTTTGTATTTTTAGTAGACACGGGGTTTGACCATGTTGGTCAGGCTGATCTTGAACTCCTGACCCCCAGTGATCTACCTGCCTCGACCTCCCAAAGTGCTGGGATCATAGGCATGAACCACCGTGCCCAGCCAAGATAGTATAATCTTGTTATAACATAGGCTATATTGGGTGAGTGCTAACCATGTGCAAGGTACTGTTCTAAGTGCTTTACACCTATTAACTCATTTAATTTTATGAAAAACTGATGAGATACATATTATTGCTACCCTCATTTTACAGATAAGAAACCTATAGCACAGAGAGGTTAAGTAACTTGCCTAAGGCCATGCAGCTAGTAAGTTGTACAGCCAGTATTAAAATCTGGCAGTTTGGTTCCAGGACTTGTGTCTATAACCATGACCCTATGCTGCCTCTGATCTATAAAGTCATATAAATAAATGAATAGATGGATGAAGCACTATTGATATCATATATATGACAATTTATGACATGTGGAGGATGTTTTTGCTGACTCTGGACAGTCCTGTTCTGAGGGAACTCTAAATCCCTACCCATTCTGAATTCTAGAATAGTTCATGGGTGTGTCCTCTGGGTGCCATTTCCCCTTTGAGAAAAGTGGGGTTAGAAGAGAAATTTCAATTCTTTCTTTCTTTCTTTCTTTCTTTTTTTTTTTTTTTTAAGAGATGGGGTTTCACCGTGTTGCTCAGGCTGGTCTTGAACTCCTGAGCTCAGACAATCTGCCTACCTTGGCCTACCAAAGTGCTAGGATTACAGGTGTGAGCCACTGTGCCCGGCCTTCTTCTCCCTTTTCTCTCTTTTCCTTCCCTCCCTCTCTCCTTCCCTCCCTCCCTCTCTACCTTCCTTCCTCTCTTCTTTCTCTTTTTCCTTTTTCTTACTAATTTTATGCAAATGGGGCATAAAATTCTGATTGTTCTTTTTTCAGGTTTAATCCTTGTTTTAATACAGTTTTCAAGCAGGAAAAAAAAAAAAAAAGAGAGAAATTTCAAAAACTGTTAGGATCCTAGTTCAACCCAGGGAAGGGGAATAAGCCAAGAAAATGTCCTGGATTTCTTGCAAAATTGGCAAATGGGAATTTGAAACACAGTTGATTTGGTTTAGGAAGATCAAGAAATGTGTGTTTTATAAACACTTTAAATATTGAGCAATTTGTACCATTTAGCTACATTTTAAAATATCCCAATGGTTCATGAAAGCCTTTGAAGATATTTGATGTTCTGTCAAAGCACACAAGCAAGTAAGCTTTTCTCAGGTCGGTGACTCTGAACCTGTCCCTCACTGAATCAACTTGCAAGCTCCAGTCCACACCTGAATTGTCTGTCCTCACTCCATTATCTTCCCTGAAATACCATTTGAATATCATGAACTAGACTCAGAAATGAGAGTGAAGTTTCTGTGGAATTCCACCATAAAATTCCACTGCATTTGGGCTCCACCTTGAAAACATTACCATTCCCAGTATGCATGCTCACCTTCTTCCTCAAGTAATAGTCTCTCACCTGTAGTGGTTATCTGGCCACCTGGAATAAAATCCACATTTCCCAGCTCCCCTTGCAATTAAGCATGGCACGTGACCAGGTTCCAAACAAAGAGGTGGGGTAAGGCAAGAATCAATATGCATGCCTCCATGTAAAGACTGGGAAGTATCCTTAAAGGGAGGGGGCACACCCTTCTTCATTACCTTATTCTCTCGGCTGTCTAGAATGTGGCTGTAATGGCTAGAGCTTCTGTAACCATTGGGGACCAAATGTGACCTCCAGGAAGCAACACATGATGGAGTGACTAGATAGAAGAAGGCTGGATCCCGGCACTTTGGGAGGTCAAGGTGGGTGGATCATGAGGTCAGGAGTTCAAGACCAGCCTGGTCAAGATGGTGAAACCCCGTCTCTACTAAAACTACAAAAATTAGCCAGGCTTGGTGGTGGGTGCCTGTAGTCTCAGCAACTTGGGAGGCTGAGGCAGAGAACTGCTTGAACCTGGGAGGCAGAGGTTGCAATGAGCTGAGATTGCACCACTGCACTCCATCTCAAAAATTAAAAAAAGGGCTGGGTGCAGTGGCTCTCACCTGTAATCCCAGCACTTTGGGAGGCCAAAGCAGGTGGATCATGAGGTCAAGAGATCGAGACCATCTTGGCCAACATGGTGAAACCCTGTCTCTACTAAAAATACAAAAAATTAGCTGGGTGTGGTGGCACACACCTGTAGTCCCAGATACTTGGGAGGATGAGGCAGGAGAATTGCTTGAACCTGGGAGGCGGAGGTTGCAGTGAGCCGAGGTCGTGCCACTGCACTCCAGCCTGGTGCCTGGTGATGGAGTGAGACTCTGTCTCAAAAATAAAAAATAAAAAAAATAAAAATAAAAAAAAGAAGGCTGGATTCCAAACACATAGAACACCATGTAAGCCCTGGACTTCCCACTTCTAGACTTTTTGAATGTGAGAAACTTGTTTTTTTTCTGTTCCTTGGAGCCAAAGATAATTTCAACTCATACAAGTAATGTCTTCCAGAGAAAGCTGATTTTCCCAGAGCAAACCATTGGCAAGAAAAAAAAATTAGACCCTTCATTAAGATTTTTACAAAGGAACTTTTAATTCTATAACCTTAGGGAGAGACTGGCCAGCCCTGTTTACCTTGATGGTGAAGATTACAGGTTCCAGATCTTCATAGGTGATCTTTATCTTTTCAGTTGCTCGTTTTGCCTGTACATCTGTCTCTGCAACCACAGCACAGATGATCTGGCCCACGCAGATTACCTGTGGAAAGTACACACATGAGGCAGATACAAAATTCTGGGTGGCAATAGGCTTGGTTCAAACTTAGCAGTGGCTGGTGTCTTAGATGTCTTGTTTAGCAATAGTAACCACATGGGAGTCACATTCAACTACACCCGCTTGGCTGAAAATTAAACAAAAAATATATATTTTGAGACAGAATCTTGTTCTATTGTCCAGACTGGAGCACAGTGGTGCCATCCTGGCTCACTGCAGCCTCTGCCTTTTGGGTTCAAATGATTCTCTTGCCTCAGCCTCCTGAGTAGCTGGGATTACAGGTGCGTGTCACCTGCATGGCTAATTTTTGTATTTTTAGTAGAGATGGGGATTCATCATGTTGGCCAGGCTGGTCTCAAATTCCTGGACTCAAGTGATCCATTTGTTTCAGCCTCCCAAAGTGCTGGGAATAGAGGCGTGAGCCACCACGCCTGGTTAAAAAATATTTTTAATAAAAAATAATTTAAATAATACAGTTTCATTGGCATGTAACTCAGTGACTGTAAGGCTCAGAGTGGATGTGCAGTTGGCTGTAACCTGAATCCACCATGTCTTCCATCCAGCTTGGTTGACACGTCACCTTCATGATATTTTAGAGTCTAAAGAGAAACAAAGTTTTTGTATAATGTGGCTCCTGTTGTGGACTGACTTGTGTCCCAAAAAATTCATACGGACTCAAGATCACACAGTGGCAGAACTAGGACTTGCTGCTTTTCTGTAATACATTTCCTTTTACTATGTTATTTCCTGACTCCACAATAGTAGGGCTGAATAAAGACAGGGTAGAGAGGTTCCAGGAGGCTCGCTCAGCACTCCCATCTCCCAAAGTCAGGAAGAGCCGGGAGCTGGACAGCTCCAGGAGGGGTACCTTGCTGATTGTTCACACTGAATCACCTGGGAGAGCATGTCCCAGACATACCTCATCTACAGCCAGCAATTTGTCACCTTCAGTGCCATTGGTGCCTGGAATGTCTTCAGCTGTTATCACATCAACAACCCCAGGTATTTCAAGGGCCTTGGACACATCAATTGATCTAAACAAAGAGATATTTAAGAAGTAGAAATCATGCTGGATGGAATGGGGCAAGCCTATAATCCCAGGACTTCGGGTGGCCAAGAAGGGAGAGATTGTTTGATGCCAGGAATTTGAGACCAGCCTGGGCAACATGGCAAGACTCTGTCTCAATAAAAATTGTTTTAAAAATTAGCCAGGTGTGGTGGCACATGCCTGAAGTCCCAGCTACTCGGAAGGCTGAGGTGGGAGGATGGCTTGAGCCAAAGAGTTCAATGCTGCGGTGAGCTATGATGATGCCTCTGCCCTCCAGCCTGGATGACAGAGCCAGACTCTGTGCCTAAATTAAAAAAAGGGGGGAAGTAGAAATCAGCAAGCTTTGAGGGCCCCAAATTTGAGGGAGAGATAAACATGGTTGAAAATCAAATATATGACAACAAATCCAGCTTAGGCCTTTACCAATCGGAAGGGACCTGCCAAGGAATAGGGTCTAAGAGAACCCCCACTGGGCCAGGAGACAACACTTTAGCTGGTGTGGGGTGGGAGGTGGAGAAGGAATAGTGTGGTGATGCCAAGAGGTGTCCTTGAAGGTTGGGATAGAGGCCACTCACCCTTGGGCATGAAGCAGGTATTTTACCTCCACCTGAATACCAGCTCTCTATCAGGGTTTTGCCTTTGAGTCATGCCTGAGGCTGCAGCAGGGAGCTGAGGTTTTGTGAGATTAGGAGGGAAACAAAGGGCTTGAAACTGTGATTTTTTTTTTTTTTTTTTGAGACAGAGTCTCACTTTGTTACCCATGCTAGAGTGCAGTGGTGAGATGTTGGTTTACTGCAACCCCTGCTTCCAAGCTCAAGCGATCATCCTGCCTCAGCCTCCTGAGTAGCTGGGATTGCAGGTGCATTCCACTACATCCAGCTAATTTTTGTGTTTTCAGTAGATACAGGGTTTCACCATGTTTGCCAGGCTGGTCTTGAACTCCTGCCCTCAGGTGATCCACCCACCTTGATCTCCCAAAGTTCTGGGATCACAGGCTTGAGCCACTGCACCTGGCCAGTGATTTTTATTCGCTCTCCATGACGCTTATTTCTAGATGCTCTCCCTCCCTCCTGGAGCTGACAACCTTTTCTTTATTCTTTCCATTTTAGGTTCTTTAGGTTCAGGACATGGCAAGAACATGGGCGCATTCCTCTGAGGGGATCCCCAGGTGTGCTTTTAAAAGGTTCTTGAAAGCTCTTTGTTTACTTACATAATTTTTGCGTGAGCCCTGTTACTAGTCACCAAAGCCATGAAAAGTTCTTTATCCACCATAGGAATGTCATCACAAAAAATGGCTTCCCCAGTGGCATGTTTAAGACCTGACAGGTGCATGATGGGGCGTCCAACTGGGTCTTGGAGAGGCTGGTGAGGATCCACACTCTACAGAGGAAGACAAGAGTTGCCCAGGAAGCCTTTAATTTTCAGGAGTGGCCTCGCCTATCACCAACACTCATGAGCTAGGATTGAGACACTGGACGGTCACCCTCGGATGACAAACACTGGGGTGGTTCAGATGATGAGTGACACATTAATGATGCCAGTAGAACAGCGAATTGTCATTTCAGTTATGTGGCAATAAATGATGAAGTAGGTGAAGGGTCACCCCAGCTTATTCTGGCTCTTATTTTCCCTAGTGGTACTCTGTACCCCTCTTCAGGCATTCAGGGGTCTTGCTGCCTCCTCACCTTTCCAATGATCAACCTGTCCACTGTCCTCATGAGGATGGGGCCTAAAGTGATATAGTTCCCAAGGTAGGCTGCCAAAATCCAAGCCAGAAGGCCAAGTATGGACTTGACTGGGGCCCCTGGCACAGGGTTTTGGGGATGGCAAGAGTCCCCCCAGATCCAGAATAAGGTATCCTGGCTGCCCATGGGAGTGGCACAAAAACATCGCTAGGCTATAAGGAGATGGAGAAAGTGTTTGTTCTGGAGCTCCTTTCAGGTAAGCTCTGCGTGTGTGTGTGCGCGTGCATGTGTGTGCGTTTGCATGTGTGTGCACGTGCACACGTGTGCATGCATGTGTCTGCGTGTGCATGTGTGCATGTGTGTGTGTGCGTGTGTGTGTGCGTGTGTGTAGGTGGTGTGGGAGATGGGTCGTGAAGTAGCAAGAATCCATAATTTCTAAACTGTCCTCCCAGAAGAGTGAGTTCAGTCACTTGCAGGGCTCTTGTTTGCTGACTGGAGATTAAACATTGGCTATCAGGGACGGGGGCTGAACTTTCTGGCTCAGCTGCTTTTCTGAGTAAATATCAAACAAATGCCCAAAGAATATCACTTTGAAGAGACTATAATGATCAGACTGTTCAGCCTTGAGTTCATCTAGCAGCAGCTTGGGCCTGACCTCACATTCCAGTGTCTCCCTGACACGGACTTAGCTGGCAACGACTAGAATGTCAGACCTGAAAACCACAGTTCTGAAAAGGTTGTTGGTTCAGCACAGCTCTAGTTTGCAGGTTTCAGTTTAATTAAACTCACTGACCTGGTACGTTTGGACTCCCTGGGGTATTGCGACTGGGAAATCTTCTAGAGCACTTAAGAATCCTTCTGAAATTTCAGAATAACGGCCGTCCTGAAAGATGATTCAAAACAATAAAGACAAGATGGTTAAGTACAGTTAAACTGGGCTTTGGCTTATGTGAAAGTGACTTGGCTAATGTATCCGGCGTAGTCTGCATGCTACCTGTCCTGGCTTCATGTTTTATGAATGTTTCTTGCCTGGAAGGGCTCCCTCCTCCCTCCACATAACGAGGACCTAGACTGACTGCTTGGAATCTGACCCTCAAGCCACTCTGAGGAGGGGGAGGCCTGCCAGCGAGCAGGGGCGGAGGCAGGAGGAGGAGCAAGGAAAATGGGCTAGGTAAGCCATCCCAGAATAAGCAGGCATCCATTGCACACAAAAGGACTCAAAGCCAGATTGCTTTTCTCAGGAACTCAACTCTCCGGGGAGAGCAGAAGAGGTGAGGAAGCTGCTCTGGGTGTCACGGAAACTTGTCAAGTGTCTTGATGCAGAAATTAAATGGCAGCAAGGATTATCCTGGTGAGCATGGTTGGTGAGGGTCTTCATCTGAGTCCATGAAAATCAGATCCCTTAGAACAGTGCACTGCTGGTGCGAGGCGTGGTTGGGAATAAGGAGTACAAGGTAGGGTGAGAGTTGTAATCATGGTCGGGGAGTGGGTGGAGAGAGACAGAGAGAGAGAAAGAGAGAGAGAGAGAAAGAATATGTTTTGCTTTGCTTAGCTTATTCTAAAAGTTTACAATCAGAAAAATCTAGAAAGTTATTTAAATATTAGCATATACATCAGTTTTTGGCTTTTTTTTTTTTTTTTTTTTTTTGATACAGGCTCTTGCTCTGTTGCTTAGGCTAGAGTGCAGTGGTATAAACATGGCTCACTGCAGCCTCAACCTCCCAGGCTCAAGAGATCCTTCCACCTCAGCCTCCAAGTAGCTGAGTCTACAGACATGTGCCACCCAGCTAATTTTTCTATTTCTTGTAAAGATGTGTAAAGATGGGGTTCTCCTATGTTGCCCAGACTGGTCTCTAACTACTGGGCCCAAGCCTGCCTTGGCCTCTCAAAGTGCTGGGATTACAGGTGTGAGCCACCAGGCCTGGGCAGTTTTGGTTGTTTTGAAAAATAAAATTTTATTATTTCATATTGATCATAAAACTAAAGAATAGGCAAAATGAATCTCTAGTGCCACCGAAGTGATTAGTGGTTGCCTGGGCCAGGGGTAAGATGGTGACACAAGGGGCACAGGACATTTTTTGGAATAATGGAAAATTTGACATGGTAGCTACACAGATGTGGGAATTAGAAAAATTCCTTTTTAAAGTTTCCTTTTTTATTAAAGAATAAATAATAAGTGTGCTAATAACTCTTTGGGAAGCCCTATCCTATGTAGCTGTTAGACATGCCATGCTTACAGGCATGTAGTAAGCATGGCATGTAGTACATTCTATGTCCTTGTACTTTAACCAAGATATCTGTACCGGACGTGCTCACAGGCATGTCCCAGCTCCCCACTGCTTTTACCTGTTTAGAAAAGTTTTAAGTTGTTAACCAATCAAGTTTCAGTTTAGATTGTGGGGTCTGGCTCCAGCCAATGGAGATCAGACGCAGCAGTAAGGACGACCACAAATGCGTAAGGGATATGTCTGTTTTCTTTTGTTCTTTGTACTCTTGTGGCAAAATGGCTAGCAAGAGTACCCTTCCTGCAGTCCAGAAAGTAAAAATTGCATTTCTGAAAAAATCCTTTGTCTCAGTGCTAATTTTTCTTTGTGACACCAAGCATCTATTTCCAACAACAGATATAAACATTTGTCAACATGCACTGAATTAAAATAGGTGCATTTTATGATGTGTAAATTACACTTCAATAAAGTTGATTTTAAAAGAAAAAAATTGCACACTGGCAACAGGGACCCCACAGTGTTTCAATGTTTAGGGCATGCAGTCAACATTTGCAGACTGCAGAGTCTGGCATCATGAGCCTCATGTAGCCCTTCCAGGCTGGGTCCCAGGAGGAGGGCCTGCTGGGTACAGACAAGGCCTGAATAGAGCAGGTGACAGGTAATGGAGCAGGCTTTGCACGAGACAGTTTGCCAAAGTGGTGGGAAAGCTGTGAGCTTATGGGTGCAAGGAGCACATAAGAGCCAGACGCTATGGGCCAAACGGTGTCTGTTCTAAATGTCTATGTTGAAGTTTCAGTACTCCAGCCCCATTTCTTCAGAATGTGGCCTTATCCAAATAAGGAAGAGCCTTTGCTACGGAGGTAATCAAGTTAAAATGAGGTAGTTAGGATGGGCCCTAATCCCATATGACTGATGTCCTTGCGAGAAGGGGAAATTGGGACACAGATGTGCCACAGGAGAACTTCACGTAAAGGCAGAGATCAGGATGATGCTTCTAAAAGCTAAGGAGTGCCCAAGATTGCCAGCAAACCAGCAGGAGCTAGGGCAGAGGCAGGGGGCAGAGTCTCCTGCACAGCCCTCAGAGGGAACCAGGCCTGCTGACACCTTGGTTTAGGACTTCCAGCCTCCAGAGCTGTGAGGGAACATGTTCCCACTGTTCAGGTCACCTAGGCTGTGGTACTTTGTATCAGCAGCCCCAGCCAGTGAACACACAAGAGCACCCGGAGGCAGAGAATAACTTCACCAGCTTCTTCAGTTCCTGCAGAACTTCTAGGTAGAATTTGAAGAGGAAGCTGACGACTAGGGTCCTCTTGAATTCCACCCGGCCACCTCGGGCTGAGCCTGGGAGCGAGACTTCATCCAGCAGCAGCTTGCAAGCCTCATCCAGCATCAGCTCATTCCAGCGCCTGGGAGGGTCAGAGGCAGGACGGAATCGGTTAAACGGCAGTCTCAGTCACATGGCATGTGCTAGATATTGGATGATGACCTCTTAGAGATCCCAGAGTGTTTTCCGGAAAGTCAGAAATCACATAATCAAGCTGCTTAGGGAAACCAAGTCCTGGGGAAGCTGCATCGAGTGGCCCAAGGGTCATGGCAGGGTAAGAATGGGAACTGTTCCATTGCAACTTGACCATGAACACATTCCAGAGCCAGACATGCTAGAACCAGGTATTACATAAGCAGACCAGGCTGGGCACGGTGTAATCCCAGCACTTCGGGAGGTCGAGGTGGCTGGATTGCTTGAGCCCAGGAGTTTGAGACCAGCTTGGGCAACATGGTGGAACACGTCTGTACTAAAAACACAAAAATTAGTCTTGCTCTGTCACCTAGGTTGGAGTGCAATGGCATGATCACTACTCACTACCGCCTCCATTTCCAGGGTTCAAGTGATCCTCTTGTCTCAGCCTCCTGAGTAGCTGGGACTACAGGTGCATGCTACCATGCTCAGCTAAATAATTTTTAATTTTTTTGTAGAGTTGGGGGGTCTCATTTTGTTGCCCAGGCTGGTTTTGAACTCCTAAGCTCAAGCATTCCTCCTACCTTGGCCTCCCACATTGCTGGGATTATAGGCATGAGCCATGGCACCAGGCCGGCTAGGCTGTTGATCTGTGTAAGAGGACGAGGGCAGATGGGAAAAAATCGCCTGCTGGCTGAACTCAGGCCAGGCCATTTTTGTTGTATACCTCATCCAAAGAGTGGCATCCAATTAATCAAAGTCAAACAAGATTTAATTCATTCAGCAAAATGACAGAAAGAACCAGCAGTGATTTTCATGTAAGAGTTTCCATCTTCCCAGGGCTTTACTGACGCTTGCCAGAGCCAGATCTCCACTCGTTTCATTTAACAGCAAGCTTCCCCCTCGGGGTGCGGGCTCTTGGCTTACCTCCCGAGGAGCTGCTGGCAGAATCTGTGTGCACTGATGGTGGCAGTCCCCACTCCTCCATAGGCAATGTGCAGGTCCTCAATGCTGTCTGTGCCTCCTTTGAAAAGGACTCGCATGCCGGCATTCACGTGGGGCAAGGCATTCTGCTGGCACTGAGCCTGTCGGAAGGCGGACACAAATTCCCACTGTGGAGACAAAAACCATTTGGGGTTATCCGATATGTCAAAACTAAGAACGTGGTTTATGCCTCTTGGTGCCACTAATTAATCACTTAGACTCAATTTAACAAGACACCAAAGACAGTTGGCACAATTAGAGGACACCTTGGCTTCTTTCTCATTCAAAGTGACAACAAAGTCTCCCTAAGGTCCACTCTCAAGGCTTTGGACGCCCTCAAGGAACAGGGACCACCGCAAAATCTCCCTCGGAGGCCGGGATGCCTCCGCACAGGATGCTGTGGAAACTTGCCCCTGGATACCTGTCCACGTGCTCGTATTTCCAGAGTCCACTCCCTCCAGTCTTCAGAACCTTTTCCCCATGACGGTGGAGGAGCCCTCCTAACACAGGGGTTTTAAAGGTGATTTGCTAGAAGTACAAAGGAGACCCACCACATTGCTTGGCTTGCAGAAACAATCGCTTTTCCACTTGGCAAAGCACAAAAGGGAGCCAAACAAAGCTTTCCAACAGTGGATAGGGAATCTTGTCTCAGGAGGAAGAGTCAAGAGGTGATGGCTGTCCCAGCTGATCCCTTGGCACCATGACCTTTGGTGAGCCAAGGTGGGGCCCAGGAAGACAGCCTGTGCCCCTTTGTGTATTTCCATTTGTGCCGCCACCAAAGGTGCACATGTGAGTGGGCTTGTTTTTCCGTCTGCTGCCTTTTCATGGATTTAAATGGGAACACATTTCAAAGTTTCCATTCCAAAGGAAAAACTAACGAAGATCACACATGGCTGAAAGCATAGCTTATGACTCCCTTCGTAAGCGGGCTGCCCCCGGCTTTTGGTGCCACTAATTAATCACATAGACACAATCTAACAAGATACCTGGCACAGTCAGCGCTGTGCTGGTTGGAATGTAGGTATGGTCGTGGGAGGCAGGGTGCTCCAAAGGAGCCCCCCCGACTGTTGATCTCTGCCTGGTCCCCTCCCTGCTGCTGAGCCAGCAAGCTGATCTATTGCCCTTGCTGGAGCTGGGGCCATGCTCCAAGTGGAGATGGCTCTGGCTGAGTTGGGAAAGCAGAGACCTTCAGCCAACAGTAACGACCAATGCCCCTGTAGAAGAACAGTACTACTGTAGCAGAAGGCCCCGGATGGGGAGCGGGCCATCCTCATCATTCTGGTGCCCCAGAGTCTTGGCTGCTCCTCTCTGGGACTTTGGGGGCTGAGCTGGGGTGTGTGTGTCTGAGCTGAATGTGTGTGTGTGTGTGTGTGTGTGTGTGTGTGTGTGTGTGTGTTGCAATGCCTCTCTCTGGGAAGACTATCCACTTGGATTCAAGTACTGCTCTGGCAGAGGCACAGGGAGCAGGCAGTGAGGACAGAGGGTCAACCCTATAACCGGCTGAGTAGCCATATCAGCCGCAGGGATTCTGAGTTAGCAAACATCTAGAGGCCCCCATGCTCCCGTGAGCTATTGGCTTGAGTGGGTGTGGGGCAGCTAAAGCCTAGCCCCCATCTCCCTGTGGGTCAGTTAGAGACACTCCATGCCACAGCCAGAGAGCTTGAACTTGTGGACATGAGGGGCATGGCAGTGTGACCACGGGCCCTCAGCAGGCTCCACCCTGCAGCTAAAACAACAGCCCCACATCCACACCCAGAGCTGGCTGCTCTTGGCTGTCGGAGGGCCTTGGTGCTGGCCCAGTCTGCAGTTGGACAGGAAACAGGTTTGCAGGGCAGAGTTATTTTCTTTCCATCTGTTTTTAGATTTCTAAAGATGACTGGACTCTGTTATGAAAAAGGAAAAACCACCCTCAAAAGCAACCAGCGGAATTCTGACCTTTTGAGAGTGCGGGATATGCACAGATTCCAAAATTTCCTCTGGCTCAACGTCTGCACTTGCCAACCCAGCAAGAAAATGTTCATTTAGAGGAATCTGCCGCGTGCCTTCTGTGGAAGAGAATGATATTTCTGCACAGTCACAACACGGAGAGCAAGCTTATCCTGTTCTTTTAAATGTCAGCAGTGGAGAAGGAAAGGCCAGCTTCCCCTGCACAGAGCAAGGCAGAGGTCTGAGTCCACGGTAAAGTCACAGGGTCCCCTTATGTGGTCCCAGGCAGTGGCACCTTCATGACATTACTATTCTCTCATCAGCATGTGGGCCATGTGAACTGGGGTCCCCTCTGCTTCGAAGGCTTGCTGGGCTTGTGGTTAACTAAATAGAACCTGTTCAGTGCGTATGATCACTTAAGAACACTTGTTAAGTCAACAACTTTAAGCCAACACATGGTTTGCTTGTACTTTTAACTATTCAATTCAGTTCAAACCACTGACTTGGCCTTTTGTTCTTCCTGCTCTTTTCAGCTCTCCTGAGACAGACACTTACACCTTTAAAACGAAGTGAAAAATTCCAAAACCTCCTTCTAGCCCAGTTGTCCCTGCTTAGTGACCACAGCTGTGCCCTCTGGCCCACAGGAGTGCAGTGAGGAGATCAAACCATGGGCTGGGGACTGTGACATGGGTTTGATCCCTGGCACAGTGAGTGCTATGGTGGTTGGAATGTAGGTATGTTCCTGAGGAGGCAGGGGTGCCCCAAAGGAGGCTCCCATGGCAGATCTCTGCCTGGCCCCTCCCTGCTGCTGGGCCAGTGAGCTGATCTACTGCCTTTGCTGGAGCCGGGGCTGCGCTCTGGGTGGAGATGGCTCTAGCTGAGCTGGGAAAGCAGAGACCTTCAGCCAACAGTAATGACCAACACCCCAGCACAGCCTGGCACGTAGTTGCATCCAGTCAAGGGAGTGTTAACATCCGGGTGGCAGGTGGGGGCAGTGTGAGTGTGCTAGGCGCTTGGGGAGATGAAAGGGAGATTTAGTGAGCCGCCACCCTAAGGGACCGTTCCTGTTCCTCTCAGCTAGCAATTAAAATCAATCACTGCCTACCCCTTCCCCAGGGGACCCACAATGACCTGTGTGGATGTCCACTGTGTGTCCTCACCAGCTTGTGGCTTCTTACACAGCAACTGGGGGGCAAGGAGGCAGCTTCAAGAGCACTATGGAGAGGCCTCGGACTGTTTGATGGTGGAGGGAGCCCAAGATGAGGAGGAGGGAGCAGGGAGCAGTCCCTCGGCCCACAGGGAGGGTACACACTACAACCGCACCCTCAGCTTGGCCTCTAAGCTGTAAACACCAGAAGCACACCACTTCTGGTGTTTACAGGTCAAGCAAGACACGTGGATGAACATGTGAGCTCACTGTGTGGTCCCAGGTTGTGTGTGTGCATGTGTGTGGTGTCAGAAGGGAACACCAGCTGCCCTTTGCCTCAGTGCACCTTCCCTCATGAGCTGGGCTCTCCATGGTGAAGTGAGACCTAGAGACTTGGGCCCTGACTTAAAGCAATTCCTTAAAAGAATAAATGAAAAAGGCAAGAAATCTGAGAGTGTCTGGAGGCAACTTACCTGCTGAAATCAGATTGAGGGTAGAATTGCCCACAGCAAGAATTGGATTCAGGTCCGAATAGCAATGCCGGCTCATCACATGCCCCCCTAAGGACTAAGGAGAGAGAGTTACAGCTCAGTTATTCTGTCTCTCAGATTCTCTACCCTGAAGGCACCTGCTGAGGGTCCTCTAAGTGGCCGTGAAAGGGTCAAGAGGAATCTCACTCAGTTCAGTCTCTTTCGTGGAGGGCATGGGTTCAGCTTGTTGAGGAGGGCCCCTCCCACGGGCTCCTTGGGATGGGAAGAGGTCTCGAGAGTGCCTAGCATTTACCTAACACCAGTGTGTTCCACATGCTGTCTAACCCCTGACACCACAACCCAGTGAGGTGGATGTTGTTATCCCTATTTTACAGATGAAGACATTGAAGCACAGAGAAATTGTGAAACCTGACCAACGTCCCCAGCTAGGAAGGGACAGGCCTGGGATTCAGATCCAAGTAGGGAGGCTCAGCAGCCTATTCTGAGCCACCCCACTCAGCACTGGCCACAGTGAAGATGGCCATGGTGTCGGCTACAAAGGTGCCATCTTGCCTTGGTGCACAGGATCTCAACCTCATCTCTGTGGGCTTCGGAAATGGCCAGACTTCATGTGGGCTGTGTCAGTGTTCTGAGGCATCCACACTGTTGGACAGATAATTGAATTGCCATTTCACTCTTTTTTGGGAGACCTCACTCAGATCTGAGGGGGCCTGCAGCATTTCAGAACTTAGGAGGGAAATGACTGTCCGTTCGATTGGAGATTTTCCTCCCAGCACAGGGAGGGAATCTACGGTGACCTCCCAGTTGCTGTGGTCTGGGCTGGGACACAGGTGGGAACAGGAAACTCCCATTCCTCTATGAGAAGCTCCATTTTACAGTTCTTTTGTTTCCCCTGAGCTGACATCTGCCTCCCTGGACCCTCATCTGTCAGTTATTCTTCTACTCTCTGCGATCATATGTAATAACACATTGGACCTCAGGAGTCTAGACAGAGTCCAAGGCAGCTCTCATGTTCCCTTTGCCTGTTCTCCCACCTCTAGTCCTCTTTTTCGGGTGGTTTCCAACCCCTCATTCTCCTACCACCTTCTCCTCACTAGGCTCCAGTGTACCTCTTCAGAGTTCCTGACTGGAGACAGAACATTTTGGAATCACTTGAGCTGTTTCAAAGGAAACATTCCCTCCCTGATTTTCCATATCCCAAAGGATTTCTGCTATACAATTTAGGGTATGTAGGGAAAGGAGCATATATGTTTCAAAAACCTAACTGTGTCTCTTTTACTTTCTTTTGAGGTCAAAATCAACCAGACCTTCAAGTATGCCTCCCAGATCTGAGCATCTTTCTCCAGAGGTGGTTTGAACAGTCTAGACTAGAAAAGGCTACCCTCCTTGTTTTAGATACTCTATTTTTGTTAATGCAGCCTAAGACTAAATTAGGTTCTTGGACAAGCTTGTCATGAAATTAGCAAAACCATGACATTCTTTTCTCATCTGTGATGCTGCTTAGCCACTCCATTGAGCTTGACTTAGAGCTCATCTGTTTTTTTTTTTTTGAGATGAAGTCTTGCTCTGTTGCCCAGGCTGGAGTGCAGCGCCGTGATCTCTGCTCACTGCAACCTCTACCTCCTGGGTTCAAGCAATCCTCCCACCTCAGCCTCCCGAGGAGCTGGAATTACAGTCATGTGCCACCATGCCCAGTTTCACCATATTGGCCAGGCTGGTCTTGAACTCCTGACCTCAAGTGATCCACCTGCCTTGGCCTCCCAAAGTGCTGAGATTACAGGCGTTAGCCACTGCACCCAGCCTATGGTTCTTTCTTAAATACTTTTATTAAATGCTGTTTATTAATTTTAAATATTTACTGTGCCTGTTGCTTCAATCTGCTGAGACCTTTTTGCATACTGATTCTGCCACTGCATGGTCCAACATTTCAGTGAGGTTCAGAAATAAGTGTGGTGTGCCCAGTGATCGACACCAGGGAACTTACTGCCATATTCCGGATCTGCTGGCCTGCCAGAATCCTCAGGTGCTTTAGGAGGGCTCGGTATGTCTGTGTTTTCTCCTCTGGGAGCTCAGATATCCTCTCAGCCAAGATGGCCTGCATCTGGGCCAGGCTGCAGCCAGCACCTATTGTCAGTCCTGGAAAGCAACTTGTTTTTACTGGTGACATAAGAGGAGCAGCTGAATTGTAATCATGACAGCAGGGCCTCAGTGTTTGGCCAGTGCATTGAGTATTCACATTGGTTCACAGAGAATCACTGGGAACCGAGACACAGCACAGATGCCCCACTCCCAGATTAATTAAATTAGAATCTCTGCTGCTTTTTTCTTTTTAAAACAGAGTCTCACTCTGTTGCCCAGGGTGGAGTGCAGCGGTGCAATCTCGGCTCACTGCAACCTCTACCTCCAGGGTTCAAGTGGTTCTCGTGCCTCAGCTTCCCAAGTAGGGGGAATTATAGGTGCCTGCAACCATGCCTGCCTAATTTTGTATTTTTTTTTTTTGAGATGGAGTTTTGCTCTCGTTGCCCAGGCTGGAGTGCAATGGCTCGATCTCGGCTCATCACAACCGGGTTCAAGTGATTCTCCTGCCTCAGCCTCCTGAGTAGCTGGGATTATAGGCATGTGCCACCACGTCCCGCTAATTTTGTATTTTCAGTAGAGAGGGGATTTCGCCATATTGATCAGGCTGGTCTCGAATTCATAACCTCATATAATCTGCCAGTCTCAACCTCCTAAAGTGCTGGGATTACAGGTGTGAACCACCGTACCTGGCCCAATTTTGCATTTTTAATAGAGACAGTGTTTCATCATGTTGGTCAGGGTGCTGTTGAACTCCTGACCTCAAGTGATCTGCCCACCTTGGCCTCCCAAAGTGCTGAGATTACAGGCATGTGCCACCATGCCCAGCCTGAATCTCTGCAGCTTTTAAAAAGGCTTCCAGGTGTTTCTACAAAGCCAGGGTGAGATCTCCTGGGCTGGTCCACACTCTTCTTTGGATAGGCACAAGGAAATAGAGACAAGAGCGAAGAAATGACAGTAAAAACTTGCAGGTGGCAGACCTTACTAGAATTTTCCATGACCCCCTCCTGACTGATCATTGTGAAGCTATGCAAAGTTGTTTTGTGATTAAGGGGGATAAATCAAATGGCATTACAATAAGGCAAAGGTCATTCAATTCCCCAGGTCATTATCTAAAATCAGAAATGTTTGGATTTCAGGTTTTGCACCTGATACTCAAAATCTTCAACAATCAGTTTTGTGAGGGGCACTGGTCAATTGGCCCATGCAAAAAGCTGCCCCAGCCATTTGTGTTGAGTGTTACTGGGTGTGAGGAAGTTGGGGGCTCCAGAGAAGTGTCAAGTGAAGTAATGGGAGAGCATCTAGCAGGATTGAAGTAGTGTTATTTCCTAACTGGCAAGGAAATAATTCAAAATTTCAACCACCTTTGGAGCCATACTTGTGAGGATTGGCAGGATATTAGCATGAGTTTCTGGGTTTTTCTTTAGTCAGGAATAAAGAGTTCAAATCAGTCTTCAAAAGTGAAGGAGCCACCCAAACCATCAGGAGATGAGTTAGGCAGCTTTTCAAAATGAATCCTTCACACTCTGGGGTTTGCAGAATGAAACGCTAACGTAAAGTGATTTGACATTACTAGCTCGGCTGTTTCTAATTGCAATTAGTCTGTTTTTATCAGGTTGGGCTTTGATTTATCTCTCGTTGACGAATCTATGAGAATAGTTCACCCTCCTACACAGCTGTATTTTATCAATATTAAGAATGTACTTGGCATGACACCTCCCCCACCTTGCCAGCATACTCATTCAATACCCCGCTGCCTCAGTAATTTCAGCTAATCTAGCTGATGAGGGAACCATGAGCTGCTGCTTGTTATCCTTATGCTAAACACATCTAAACTATCCCTCCCCACTAGAATGTCTCAGCCTCGAGTTTTCACCCTGTTTCTGTTTTAGTGTCTCCTAAAATACACTCTGTAACAAGGAATCTAATTTCATCCCAGACCCATCAGTGATGGTCTGTTGCTTCCTTATCACAGGTTTCACTGGAGCCTGGTCTTTAACTTCTGCAAAGTCCTGGCTTGCCTTATTTTTGCAGGAGTGGTAGGAAATCCAAGCTTTTTTTCCCCCCCCCCATATAATTCCTTCTCCCTAAGGAGAAGACCTAGAGCCTTATTTGTAGAGGAAAAACCAGAAACAAAGACATAATTACTATTAAGGTCAGAAGCATCACATAGACCAGTATCACCACCTCTTATATGACATAGATGGAAAGGACAGTTCAACCCCAGTAGGGAGTGAAGTGTCCCGTCTGCTCTATTGCCTGAATCCTTATAAGAGTTCAAACACAGTTTGAAGCCAAATAATCCCATTTCCATTGTTCACATCACCACCTCACCTTGTGCTAGGCATGACAGACCTTCTGCCAGGCTATACTGAGAACATTCTACTTATTGTGATTCTATTCATATTTTGTTCCATCTCTGGTCACAAAATCTAGCTTTCTTCCAATGCAATTGGAAAGAGCTTCAACTTTGATTCTCAGAAAGGGCATTTCACTTGAACTCCATGCTTTTCAGAGTTCATGGGTCTATGGGATAAACATGCAATGACCTTTTGGAGCACCCACTGAAGATTTTGAGAAAACAAATGTATACTGGGCCAAACATGTACATCATATGGATGAGCATGCAAACTTTAAACAAATGTTTAAGTCAAAATTACAGCTGTGCAAAAAGGTATTTCCTGGGTATGCTGGTGGAGAACACATCTGGCTACAGGGCACCCCACCTCCGCCAGTGTCCTTCACTCATCTGGGACTTAGAAATCTAAGTTTGAGAATTGTGGAAACTTTCCTGGAAGCCACTAGAGGGTACTCATGCTTTATTTATAAGAGCCCTAAAGGAAGGTGCATTGTTTATTTCAGCTTCTGCTTTAGCTGCAGAGACCAAACTGAGCAGTCAACTCACATAGCTAATTGGACAGGCTGTGGAGTGGACCTGAGGTGTGTAATGGCAGTAACAAGAACAGTGTTGGCTGGCGTGGTGGCTCATGCCTGTAATCACGCCTATCTCAGCGTCCCAAAATGCTGGGATTACAGGATCACCTGAAGTCAGGAGTTTGAGAACAACCTGGCCAACATGGCAAAACCATGTCTCTATTAAAAACACAAAAATTAGCTGGGCATGGTGGCAGGTGCCTGTAGTCCCAGCTACTCAGGAGGCTGAGACAGGAAAATCATGAACCCCGGAGATGGAGTTTGCAGTGAGCCAAGATCGCACCACTGCACTCTAGCCTGGGCGACAGAGTGACACTCCATCTCAAAAACAAAAAACAAAACCAAACCAAAAGAGTGCTGAATTGGGAGTGGGAGACCTTGTAACCTCACCTCCAGCCAGACTAGGGACCTCAGGCTAGTCTACTTTCCTCTTGCATCTTGGCTTCCTCATTTGTAAGATGAGGGACGTAGGTTATATGGGGAATTAAACTGGGCTCTGGAGGGCCCTCTCAGGGACCGATACTGGGGCTCAGAGACAGGGAAGGATGGTGAAAAGTCTTTCTCCGCCTTCAAATGAATCCGTTTATTTTCATCTTCTTATTTAATATTTGTTTGAGGACAGGGTTGTGACACTAAAGAGAAGTTTGCAAAAGGGGCTAAATGATGCCTGGGGTAGGGTGGGACCAGGGCTTCCTGCCATCACTTCTGCTTAGACAGGTGGTCTTTGTGTCCAGCTGCACATCCTGTTATTCCCTCTTCCTCTCCTTTCCCTTCTGCCCACATCGAGATTCCAGGTAAATCTAAGCACATTCCTGTTTTTATAAGTAGCATTAAGGTATGCCACCTGAATTGTCCCAAGGCTGAAGCTGTGAAACCTTGGTGCTGGGCAAAACAAGGAAGGGTCCTCTCCCTTGCAAACAGGTGGGGTCAAGCCAGGGAAGATCCGGCCTGCCAATCTGCTGTGCAATCTAGTTTGGCTGATGATGATTAGCGACCAGGAAGGTAGGACTCCTGGATAGCAGTGATGCCATCATGGTGAATCCCTTTCCCTGCCCACCACTGGCCCTCACTGACCCACCACAAACACATGGTGACCTACAGCTCAATCTTGACTAAAGCTTTCAGTTCAGTCACTCACCCTGTTTCCTACGTTAAGGAGGTCATCATTACCACTCCATTCCATTCCATTCAAGTTCCTGTCCCGCTCATCCATTTTTTTCCTGTTAATTCATTTATCAGTCACTGACTGAGTGCTTATATTGTATGCACAGGACTAGGATCTCAGGGGATCAAGAAAGGGGCAAAAGAAGGTTCCTTTTGTTAAAGAGTTTGCTATGCATCTCAAGTGCCAAGTCTGTGTGTTTACTTCCTCCTCTGTGAGTTCCGCCTTGCCTGATACAGTACCTTGCACTAGTGAGCTCTTCAGGGTGTGGTATGGGATGGGGGGTGCTTGCCTGAGTAAGCCTTTGTTTCACTTGGCCCTTTGCCATTGTCCCCACCAGACAAGTAGCATGTGAGTGCCAGACCACATTTTGCCTACTTTCCCCTGCAAGCATCTCCTCTCCATGGAATTGATCATCTAACTGATGGACAGCATCTGCTCTCTTTTGCTATCTTCCTATCAGTCTCATTGCAAATTTATTGTCTAGGACATCATGGCATTTTATAGGCAGGTAACTGCAAGGTCTTGAAGAATATTATTTGGATACTCCTATTCCCCAGAAAGATTTTGACAGTAAAATTTCATGGTAAAGTTCATTTAAAAAAATAAAGAATAACTGGAAATATACAGGAGAAGGCAAACAGATGAGGAGGCTTTGAGTTATTTGGCAAGTGTTAGTTTAGCAAGGGATCACCTCATTGACCTCACCATCACTTGTTTTTGTCACCATACTCAGCTCAGAGATCCTTGCAGGAGAGAGGAGAACTGGATGAAAATGCCCTTGAGATTTCATTCCAGGTCCTGAAGAGTAGAGACAATTAGGAAAGGGACAGTTATTTTAGAGACAATTAGGAAAGAGAAAATGCCTTTTTCTTCTGCATTGAAATTTTCTTTTTTCTTTTTTTTTTTTTTTTTGAGACGAGAGTCTCATTCTGTCACCAGGCACCCAGGCTGGAGTGCAGTGGCATGATCCTGACTCACTGCAACCTCTGCCTGCTGGGTTCAAGCAATTCTCCTGCCTCAGCCTCCTGAGTGGCTGGGACTGCAGGTGTGCACCACCATGCCCAGCTAATTTTTGTATTTTAGTGGAGATGGGGTTTCACTATGTTGACCAGGATGGTCTCGATCTCTTGACCTCGTGATTTGCCACCTCGGCCTCCCAAAGTGCTGGGATTACAGGCATGAGCCACCTTGGCTGGCAGAAATTTTTTTTAAGTGGAGACAGAGTTTCTCCATGTTGGCCAGGCTGGTCTCAAACTCCCTTGCCCACCTTGGCCTCCCAAAGTGTTGGGATTATAGGCATGAGCTACTGTGCCCAGCCTTGAAATTTTCTTATAAAAGATTCAGATACATTAAAGATTGACAATAAATGTGTACAGATGTGTGAAAGCAGTGGTTATATACCCCTGCCAAGTAAATTTATATATATATGTATCTATTTATGCATGTACTATGTCTATATAAAAACAGGAAATAGAAAGGATAAGATGCTCTTGAAACACTCTTGCACATAGTCACCAGGAGACGCATAGAAGAATATTTGTAATGCCAAAAACAAGCTGTTCTCCAGCAACAGAATGGATATCAAGTTATTCAATGTTCATATGATGGACTACAGCAAAACTACATGCAACAACATGGATGCCTCGGAGGTCAAGTATGTTGAACAAAAAGCAAATTGCAGAAGAATAATACCCGGAGATTCTTATTATTGGGAGTGGGAGACCTTGTAACCTGACTTCTAGCCAGAGGTCAGGACTCTCCCTCCAGTCCATTTATGTGAAGTTCAAAAATATGCCGAGCTAAACAACATATTGTTTAAGGATTCAATTGCATGTGGTAAAATTATAAAAATAAGGAAGCGAATGACTGACACAATATTCAGGCTAATGAGTACCTTCAAGGAGGAAGGGAAGGAAAGGGGATGTGGCTTGGGAGGGCCTACAGGGGTCTTCAAAGTTCTTGGTAAAGTCTGTGCTCTTCTAGTGGATATGGGTGGTAACTGAGTGTGCACCATGTTGTTAATATCTCTATATTTTACAAAATTTATATTTATTCAATATTTAACAAAAACAAGAATGAAACAAAGTAAATGATTAAAAAAAAAACCAAAAACCCTCTAGGCAGGATGTTGTGGCTCATGCTTGTAATTCCAGCACTTTGGGAGGCCAAGGTGGGTGAATCACCTGAGGTCAGAAGTTTGAGATCAGCTTGGCCAACATGGTGAAACCCTGTCTCTATTAAAAATACCAGGCATAGTGGCTCACACCTGTAATCCTAGTACTTTGGGAGGCCGAGGCAGGCGGATCATGAGGTCAAGAGATCCAGACCATTCTGGCCAACATGGTGACCTGTCTCTACTAAAAATACAAAAATTACATGGACATGGTGGCATGCGCCTGCAGTCTCAGCTGCTCGGGAGGCTGAGGCAGGAGAATTGCAAGGGGTGGAGGTTGCAGTGAACCAAGATTCTGTCACTGCACTCCAGCCTGGGTGACAAGAGCAAAACTTTATCTCAAAAAAAACAAGAAACAAAACAAAACAAAAAACCCAAAACAAAACCCTCTAATACTTTCCTCCCACACCTCTGGGGTCCAGGGTATATGCACATTCAACTTTGGAACCACTGGCTTTATTAAAAAGGAAGAAGTTTTCATCCCTAAAAAGTAGTTTCTGTGGACTGAGACCAGAGTAAGGAACAGAAAGTTCAGCCCAGCATTAAGATTTGAATGAGAACCAGGTAATCACTTACCCAGTGAGGTGTTACCCAGAATGAGAGGGGCTTCGGGGTGTTTCGCTTTCAGCTCCAGGAGATCCTTGAGGGTCCCAGGGGAGATCCAGGTAACTCTCTCTCCACAGAAGGTCAGTGTTTGTTTTTCTGGATTCTCTGCCATCCTCTAAGGGTAAATGACAAGTATGTGTGCTTGTGTGCATGCCTGTCCTCCTGGCTTATGCAAGGTCCCAGATGGAGATGTGTGCCTTTACAGAGACGTCAGGGGTGCTGGGTGTACTTGCCCAAAAAGATACTCACTATGCCCATTGGCTAATGCCTGAATTTTCATAATTAGATGACTTTTTGGGGACAATTGACAATATAAACTGCCGTCTGTTATTGACCATTTAGTGTGGATTAATTTAGCATTATTTAGTCTTATGGCTTTAAAAATTATAATTACACTAATGCTTCTAAATTAATATCTTCAGCCTGGCTTTTTCCTCTGAAATCCAAGCTCGTATCTGAGTAAGTACTTGGCATTGCCTCTTAGATGTGTAATAGGCATCTCAAATTTAACATGTCTCTTGGACTGGCTTAGAGCAATGAAGATAAAAATGATTAATATGTCAAAAACTGAGCTTCTCCTATCCAGTTTCCTTCCAAGCCCACAAAGAGAAACCCCCAAAAGGAAAAATCCCCTGTTCTTCCAGAGCTCTTCCCCATCTCTGTAAATGGCCATTCCATGCTCCCAGCTGTCCAAAGCCCTGGAGTCAGCCTTGACGCCTCTCTCTCTTCCACCCTCACAGCCTATCCACCAGCAAATGCTATTGGCTTTTCTTCCAGAATACATGCTGAATCTACTTGCTTCTCACCCCTTCCACCCCAGCAGACTGGTGCAGCCACCACCATGTTTTTAAGATGGCATTAGCCCCCTGACAGGGTTCATGCTCCTTCCCTTCTCCTCTGCAGGTCGTTCTCAATACAGCAGCCAGAACAATCCTGTGACCACTTAAACTGGAGCACAGCCCTACTCTGTCCAGCTGCCTGCTAGCTTCTCCCCTCACAGAGAATAAAAGCCCAGCAGCCTGAAATCCAGCATGGCCTGCCCCCGGCAGCTCCCTGGCCTTCACCTCGCTCACTCTGCCCAGCTGGGCTGGACCCTGTTCTGCCTCTGATCAGGCCTGGTGTTCTCCTGCTGTTGGGCCTGGATTGCTCATCTCCCTTTTCAACTGGGAGGACTGGCTCCTTCACTTCCCCTCCAGTCTCTTCAAATGTTACCCTCTCAGAAAAGGTTTCTTTGGGCAGGATATCTAAAATTGCAACTCCATGCATCCTATCCTTCTCTGCTTTATTTTTTTCTCCTTAATACTTCTCAATCGCTAACACACTGTATCTTTTTAAAAATTATTTATTATTTTTTTGGGAGGACAGAGCCTCAGTTTGATGCCCAGGCTGGAGTACAGTGGTGCGATCTCGGCTCACTGCAGCCTTGACCTTCCAGGCTCAAGCAATTCTCCCACCTCAACCTCCCAAGTAGCTGGGACGACAGGTGAGTGCCACCACAGATGGCTATTTTCTTCTATTTTTTGTAGAGACTGGGTTTTGCTATGTCTGGCTGGTTTCTAACTCTTGGGCCCAACACATCCACCCGCCTCAGCCTCCCAAAGTGCTGGGATTATAGGCATGAGCCACCGCACTTGGCCAAATATATCTTTTATCTATTATTTTGCTTATTGTCTGCCTCTCTCACCAGGTTACAAGCTCCTTGAGGGCAGGTGTTTTGTTAGTTTTGTTCCCTGCTATATATTTAGTACCTAGAACAGTGTCTGGCATGTTTCTGGATGATAAATACTGGTTTAATGAATAAACAAAGACATTAGGACCCCTTTAGAAATAGCTGTTGGTAGAATAGGACTGCTGCATTTCTGCAAAGAAAGATGCGGATGGGAGGAAGGCTAAAAGCTAGGGGTGTCTCCTGGAAGTGTTCCTTGGGGTCAATGTGCTGGAGTGGGACAGAAGACCAAGGAGAAGCTTAGCAGTGCTGTGCTGTGTCTCCTGAACAGCCACTAGTGACACACTGCAGATGACAATGATGAGAGCGATGAGGCTGAGCGGAGGTTTCAGGGAATGTGCCAGGGATCAGGCAGGGTGTGGCATGGAGGGAAGCAGGCATCTTCATCTGATCGAACATTACCACAATTTGACAATTTCGCAGGAAGGAAAACGGAGGCTTTCTAAAACTGAGTTTATAACCAATGATATTTAAACGAGTACGTAAAATATCCAGCTAGTCTTACCAAGAGTTCTGGGGGAAATATGAGCTCCTGGGTCGGGTCCAAGGGCTGAAACTCCTCTTTTGCAAATAACTTCGTGCAAATCTTTATAAACGGAAGAAACAGATGGTTCTGTCAGCCCAGCTCAACTGGAAACAGCATGGTAATTCTTTATAGAAATGAGGCAACATGAACGTAGTGATAACTCTCGTAATCTCCCTGCACAGGGAAATAGTTCAAACCAAATAATTTAAAATAGGAATCATCTATTAAGAGAAATACTGATTTGTTACTAAATGTAACAATAAAGAAAAGAGCAAAGAGTATTCTATGAAATCCTACAATGTGTGTTCTGGAAAACACAAAGACAGTCTATGAAAAACTATGAGAGGTTAAAAACATTAGGGAAATCCCCTCCACTGTTCCGCAACCACTATCTTCTCCCCTGTGAAGTCAGGATTTGAAATGCTGAAAGCTCTGAAAGTCCCGTAGTTCAAGTGAAAATGACTCTAAACATACATGCCCATGCATAAACACACACACACACACACACACACACACACACACACACACAATTTGACTTTAATAACAATAGTTAACACTTAGTAAGTGCTTACATTCCAAATGCTTTTACATGTACTAGCAATTTATTTAATCTTCACACTCATTGAATAGAGAAAGTAAATTATCTCCATTTTACCTGTAGGAAACCAAAGCACAGTGAAAAGTTACGCACACTGTAATCCTGTCTGAATCAGATCTGTTTTAGCTTTGGAAAACACTTATTGTCAGCAAAACATTCCTGAAGATGTAAGGAAAACTGGGAGAGATGGGGGGCACAGAGGTGGATGTGGGTGTGATGGAGAAGAGGATATGTAGGTATCAAAGGTAGACAGATCAGGGTTCACTCACTCAGGTGACTCTCTAAGCTTTCCAATGGAAAAGTCCTTAATCTCTCTAAGGATTTAATAAAAATAAGCCATATTTTGAAGGGTAATTGTGATAATGGGTAAAACGACCTGACATTTGTCCAACACTTCCCTCTTTTTCTGTCTCTCTGAGGTTTTCCCAGGCTCCAGAAAAACAAACAAACAAAAAAAACCACTTGCAATTGTTCCTTGATAAGGGTGTTAGTAGGGACACACAGGCTGGGCATTTCAGGACCACATCTGAACGATCTGTTTTTGTGCTAGTTGGCATTAGAAGTATAGGCAGTGCCTCAGGGCAATAATGTGGCATATCTTTAGAACCTAGAAATAAGTTTGTGTCAGGGAATTCAAACAAAAAACAAACATAATAAATGAATGTTGAGAAATGAAAAATTTTCCTAAATAGATCCCAGGCCAAGATGTCATGGTTACCCAAGTGGGCGATCTTAACTCTGCTTATAGAGAAGAGGGAGCCACTCGGGCAGACACCTGGCCTCACGCAGGTCCAGTCGGGCGGAAGGGAAGGGTCCTGCCCATTGAGGCTATGCAATTGCGCTGTCTCCATGCTCACCAAGCAAACTTCTCATTGCAATTTATCTTCCTAGTGTGTTTTCCTGCCAGGAAAGGATGAGTGGCTCAGTGATGGCAAGATCCACTTTATAACTGTGTGTCTCTTCATAAATGAAAATGGGGCACATTCCAGTTTAAATGTCACAGTCTTTGAATTTGGTTAAAGTGAGTCAAGTGGTCCCTAGAGCCCAGTCATTGCCCAAACAGAATTCCTGAGACCACAAAACCACAAAGACCTAAAGAATTGGATTTAGGATGTAGTGACCCCAGCAAGGCACTGATCCTGTATAGCGGTTGTGAGGGGTGCAGCCTCCTCCCTTAGGCAGCACCCCTCTTTGTCACAGCACACTTTCTTCAGATCCAGTTAAGGTGACAGTGGGAGCAAGAATGGGAAAAGATAGGTGTGAAGGATAGAAATGTGTGGGTTTGGGCTGGGCACGGTGGCTCACGCCTGTAATTCCAACACTTTGGGAGGCCGAGGTGGGAGGCTCATGAGGTCAGGAGATCAAGACCACCCTGGCTAATGTGGTGAAAACCCGTCTCTACTAAAAATACAAAAATTAGCTGGGTATGGTGGCGCGTGCCTGTAGTCCCAGCTACTCAGGAGGCTGAGGCAGGAGAATTGCTTGATCCCAGGCGGTGGAGGTTGCAGTGAGCTGAGATCCTGTCACTGCACTCCAGCCTGGGCAACAGAGTGAAACTCCATCTCAAAAGAACAGGAGTGGGGAGAGGGGAGATGGGAGAGGGGATGGGGGGAGGAGGGAGGGGGGAGAAGAGGAGAGGAGAGGAGAAAGAAATGCACAGGTTTGTCTAGGGCCAGCGGTGTGCTCTCAGATTTCCTCGCATACTGGGAGCTGATTGTGTATTTTATCCTGCATTTCAACTTCTCTAAGTAATACCTTTAAGAATTTGGCAGGGCCCTTTTTTTTCCTGGAAATGAGCATCTCTCAGGGAGCAAAGCCAGGGATTGGAATGTTTATGGCTGACTTCCTGGCTGGGCGGCGGGGCGGGGCACTGACTTGCCTGTGGCCTTGGACGGCTCTTCAGCCCTCTGGGGCTGCAGCGCCCTCTGTCTACAAAGGAGGAGACAGTGACAGAAGAAGGCTCTGCAGGGGCAAGTAGAGAATTCACCTCCACCTGAGAACTGACCCATCCAGAGCTGGGGGAGGTGCTTTGTTTCTGGTCCCAGTGTTTTTGTCTTCCTGTTGTTCCAGTCTTTCTGACTGCGAAGGGGAAGATCAGAGTGTGGGCTGTCATCACCGCTTTCCGCAGCTCCCAGATGAAAAGAGCTTTATTTGCATATGCACTTTGGACAGTTGTAAGCAGAGAATGACCATTAAAACAAGCAGGCACAGTTTCAACACTGGGTCAGCATTAAGCAACACTCATAGTGAGAGGACAAAACAAAGGGACTCACCTCATTTTTCTTGCCAAGTGGGGAAGAGTCATGTTCTCCCCAATCCAAACAGCATTTTCCTTTTCCTTTCTGTTGACAGCTATTTGCCTCCTAAGAAGGTGAAATGCCTTAGATTAAAAACTTTTTTGAGTAGGTAAACGAAAATGTGCCCCCAAAGGTTGGCAATTTAAATGAGACTTCAGGCCTTTTTTTTTTTTAGATGGAATCTTGCTCTGTCGCCCAGGCTGGAGTGCAGTGGCAAGATCTCGGTTTACTGCAACCTTTGTCTCTCCAGTTCAGGTGATTCTCCTGCCTCAGCCTCCCAAGTAGCTGGGACTACCGGCATACACCTCCATGCCTGGCTAATTTTTTTTTGTATTTTATTAGTGACAGGGTTTTATTGTGTTGCCCAGGCTGGTCTTGAACTCCTGAGCTCAGGCGATCTGCCCACCTTAGTCTCTCAAAATGCTGGGATTACAGGTTTGAGCCACCATGCCCAGCCTGAGACTTCAGACTTTTTAAGCCACTGTTGGTGGTTTCTATTGGAACACAGATAATCACAAGATCTTTCTTCTTTTGCTTATTTTTAAGAGTAATACATGTAGAGTATATAAGATACGTAATTTGGTAGATAATATATGTAAGTATATAATATAAAATGATAATATAGAATATAGAAGTGTAAAGGAAATAAACTATCATTACTCTATTCCACTGATGTTTTCACATTTGGGATTGTATTATAGTACATAGTATATGAACATTTTTGTACACTACATGTACCGCCTTGCATCCATATCCATATATTTTTGTACACTACATGTACCGCCTTGCATCCATACCGCCTTGCATCCATATATACCGCCTTGCATCGCCGCCCAGCCAGGAATTTTTAGGTTAATTTCTAGTGGAAAATTAATGACTAGATGCTTTACAGGGTAATAATAATTTATAGGAAGAAAAAAGAAAACCATTTTAGAAACCAGATCTCGCAGACATTTGGGATGGGCGTGGAGCTGTCTGGGGATGAGCTGACAATGAGTTTTAAGGCAGGTTTCCATCTGCCGGCTCTTTCACTTCCCATTTCTTCCAAACTTCCCTCTTACATCTTCTTACACAAGTAAGTTCTCCTAAGTTCCTAGCATAATACTTTCTTCCAGACACTTCAGTTCTCTGTCTCTACCTAAATGTCTAAGCCGCTATCCTTCTAATTTTATCCAAGAAGCAAAAACAGCTGGGCCAAGCAAGCAGCATCTCTGTTACTCGAAGCTCTGAGAGCTCCCACGATGCACCGTGAACCGACAACGGAAAAGCCAGTCATCTCTTGGCCCACTTGACATTAGCCTTGTGTATTCCCTGAGACTGGGTTGCTTCACCCATTAAAGTCCCGTGAGACATGCTGGCTACCAGGCAGGGTGGGTGACCACAGTTTTGCCTTTATCCCCCGAGTCTGTGTGTCTGGAAAGGCGGACAATAACGTCTGTATCCACAGGGAAAGACACTTCCTTTAACTTTTTTCGTTTGTATTTCCCAAGTGCTTTTTCACTCGATACCAGCCATTTGCTGGGCTTACAAGCCATTTCATTTACTTCAGCATGTCGCCTTTGGCTCCCTCATGTGGCAGCAGACGTCTGGGCGATGCATGCACAGGTGACCTGCCTGGTTCTAGGTCGTGGGACACACCTCCCGGTCTACTTCTAGGTCCACCTCCACTATTTGTGGAGCCGCAGCAAAGAGTGCCAACAAAGGCCCCCAGCCTGGGGCCTGCTGCCCTTCTCTTCTACCCTGGCTCTGTTCTGCGCTGTGAGGGGCCTGAGCACCGCAGCCTGAACAGCCAAGCTCAGTCTACTTCCTCCACAAACAGCCCGCTCCTTGGCCACCCTCTGACCTAGGGGTGCAGACACTGCTGTTATGAGCTGCCCTGGACAGACTCATAGAAGAGGCTGATGTCTGGTCTAACAGTGGGATCAAGAACATCCATGGAGAATGATCTAGAAAAGGGGTGAGGTCCCAGGTGGACAAAGTCACTTTGGTGCTATGAACTCCCGAAAACTGTTGGAGGAAGACCAGAGAGGGGTCCTCTAAAGTACGGGGTCTTCCTTGCTTGGGCCTAAGGGCTGTACTGCCCACATCCATCCTGCCCTCAGCAGAGAACCACGAACTGTGCCTGTCCTGTCAAGCACTATTCACATGTCAATGACATCTTCAATGACAGCAGTAACTATTTGTGGAACTCTCACTAAGTGCCAAGCAAGACTTACGTGATTTTCTCAAGAGCCCAGTGAAGTGTCCCCATTTTGTAAAGAAAACTCCCTGTGCTCTTGTACTAAATTTTGGGTTCCACTCTACATATTTAGCTTCTTGTCTGCTCACACCTTCTCAGCTGGTTGGACTCTGGAACTGACCTTGCCTCACCAAAGCAAACTCCACCCACTTGCATTCTTTGTCCCCTTGGGTTTGCCAATGCCCTCTGACTTGCCTGTCCAGATGCCTTCCTGAACTAGTTACAGAAAATGTCTGGACAGCTGGTTAGATGATCTGACTTCCCTCTGTGGTTTTGATTGGACAACCTCAAAGGTGTCACAATGTTCCCCCAATCTTCAGCAAAAAACTAAAACTCAGTGAGTTCACAGTGGGTCTCCCTAATGGTCTGTTGAGATGGCCTAAAAAATTTTGATTCCTCTGTTCCTGGCCTTGATCAGCTGTCATTGTTGTTCTTGCTGCATGGGGTGTCCCCACAGTCACCTACTCACCAGGCAGAAGGTCCTCCCACTCTCACATATTGGCCGATACCCAGTGCAGCGGCATAGGTTACCTAATCAGTCAGAGAAGTGCAGTCGTTAGTAGACTTTGCATTTACTGGCTCCTTTTGTCTTTTGAAAGTTAAATCAATCTAGCTTTTTTTTTTTTTTTTAAAGGGTCTTATGACATTGTCCAGGCTGTGTTCAAATTCCTGGTCTCCTCCTACCTCAGCCTCCTGAGTAGCTTGGGCTACAGGTGTGCAGTACTGAGCCTGGTTCCCAACGTTTTTAGAAGGGTGTTTTAATATCTGCCAAGGGGTTTAATGCTTTATTCCTCTCCTTGGAGTATTACCCTGCCCTCTACCTCAATTCCAGTTTTATTCTCTGTCTTAAAGGTGATAGCCTAGTTGGCAAGCTCATCATCTTCACCAGATGGGAATTTGGGAATGAGTTCTTCATCTATTAATTTATTAATTTGATGTAGATCTATTGACAACTATATTTCAGATACTAGGTAAGATAGCGGGGATCCTCAAACAGAAAACTTAGGCAGTTTCTAAGGCCCTGGATGATATACCATCGTGTCTTGAATGGTTTGTCAGTGATGTGCCTTAGTTGCTTTTAGATAATTACATCAAACTCTCCTGGGGGTATTTTAAAAAAATACAGATTCCTAACCCTGCTCCTATTCTCCTGAAATGCCATCTGGGATTAGACCCAGATATCTGCATTCCAGAAGTCTGCAGGAAATTCTACTGCATGAACTTCCCATTTTATTGCTGTTCCATGCAATAACATTTGAGAACCTCAGGTTTCCAAAGAGGAAGGCCTAGGGGCTGGGAGTGAAAGAGTCCGTGTGGAATAGAGTTCCTCTGGGAAGGCTTCACAGGGAAGCCTAGGCTTAAGGAAAAATGAGAAAGCTATGGATTTGTGGAGAGCCAGGGAGAGGCATTCTGGGTTCTCAGAGCAGCAGGCACAGGTGCAGAGATGGGGTTGTGGGGGGACTGGCTGGCAGGGAGCCCTGGAGAGTAGGAGGAAGCATGACTTAGGGAGGTCAAGTGGTTGGACTTCTCTGAACGCCTGGTGAAGGAGGTTAGGCTTGGCCATGCTTTAGGCATAAGGAGCTGCTGAAGGACCTCAAACAGGTGAGGGACCTAAGGAAGGTGGGGAAGTCCACCAGCAGCTGGCAGGTGAGGGGAGTGTGCCTGTGCTCCTGCTCAGCCCTCAACCTCAGAATTTGTGTATTTAACAGATAACTTGTTTAGGGATTATTAACACCTGAAATGGCTGTTTATTGATTCTTCAAAAGGGATATGATTATGAACTCCTCTTCAGTAACTTAAACTCATTGCAAATTTTAAAGGATTCTCTCTCTCTCTCTCTCTCTCTCTTTTTGAGATGGAGTCTTGCTCTGTTGCCCAGGCCTGTGTGTGGAGTGCAGTGGCACGATCTTGGTTTATTGCAACATTTACCTCCCAGGTTCAAGCGATACTCCTGCCTCAGCCCCTCAAGTAGCTGGGATTACAGGCGCACGCTGCCACGTCCAGCTAATTTTTGTTTTTTTTTTTTTTTGGTAGAGACAGGGTTTTGCCAGACAGGGTTTTGCCATATTGGCCAGGCTGGACTTGAACTCCTGACCTCAAGTGATCCTCCTGCCTCAGCCTCCCAAAGTGCTGGGGTTACAGGCGGAAACCACTGTGCCCACCTAAAGGATTCTTTTGGTATGTGAAGGGCCATGTTAGGGGTTATGTCCCCCAAAAGACACATTCAAGTGCTAAACCTTAGAACATCTGAACTTATTTGGTAATAGGGGCTCTATAGATGTAATCAAGTTAAAATGAAGTGACACTGGGTTAAGACTGGCCCAATTTGATGACGGGCGTCCTACAAGAACAGGGAAATTTGGACACAGACACACAGGGGAGAAGATCATATGAAATGGAAATAGGTTGAATTGACACATCTACAAGCCAAGAAATGCCAAGGAAGGAAATGCCGTTGTCAACCAGCAGCAGCTAGGAAGGGGCCAGATAGGATGAGCCCCAGGAGCCTTCAGAGAGGACGTGGCCCTGCAGACAGCTTGCTGTCAGACTTAAAGCTCCAGCACTGGGGAGAATACATTTCTGCTGTTTTAAGCCCGCTAGTTTGTGGTACTTAGTTAGGGCAGCCCTGAGAAACTAATACAGGCCCTTAACAAAGGAAGCCAAAGAAGTCACTGGATAGAAAACGAGGTGTGGAGTGGATGGTGTCGAGTGTGTGCACTATGCTAGCTCTGAGCAGGCTGTTCCAAGCACATGCTCTGATAAGCAGGGAGCAGCTTGGCATTCTCTGCTCCTGGGTGCTGTAGCTACTTTAGAACCAACTGAAGCAGAGACCCGAGTGGGATTAGGATGACACTGGGAGTGGTGCGATATATCCAGAAACACACTCCCTACCTGGCCTTGGCTGGGTGGTGGGTTTTCTCTGTTTAGACTTACCCCCCAGGGCTTCCATGAGCTGCTCCTCCGAGGGCTGTGGGTGGTTCCTGAGCAGCGTGTACATGGACATCACCATCCCAGGGGTGCAGAATCCACACTGGGTGCCGTGGCTCTTGGCGATCCGCTCCTGGAAAGACATGTGGTTATGGCCATGCCTTCTTGCTGCCACCAACTCTCACCACACTCCACAGCCTGCAGTTCCCTGGCAATGGCAGAACCCACTCCCTGAGGAACTCACTTCCTTCCCTTTGATCAGACTCAGCCCGTGTTCCTTTCCCTAGGCCGCTCCTAGAGGAAGTGGCCCAGAAGCCATGTCCTGTGATAATCACTTTCCAAGGTCAAGTGCTCAAATCCTTCTAACTGGGAATTAGCAGCATGTATCCTCCACTCTCAGAGAGCAAAGACTCCTCTGAAAATCAATAAGTATAAACAGAGTGTGTGGGAGTCTCAAAAATAGTTTTCTTGAACACCTCTGCATCTCGCACAGCTTAGTTCTATGAGGCTACCTTTTTCTGATTAACTTGGAGACTGTCTACTGTTGATCTCACTTTGCCTTCATCCTTAAATTTTTCTGTGTTGGCACAAAGGGAGCTCTCCTTTCAAAGGTCTGGGATTTTGGTCCACGTCCTGGGTCCCTGCCATTTAAAGTATTGCCCATGGACTAGCAGTATTGACTCCAACTGGGCACTTACAGGAAATGCAGAACCTAGCGCTCCTGCCTCAAATCTCTTTACTCAGAATCTGCATCTTTAACAAGCTCCTGGGTGAGTCTTAGGCACATTAAAGTTTGTGTCTAGATCTGGAAGCCCTGTTCTAGATTGCAGAATGTAATGTAATGCTAGGATTTGGGTTTATCAGTCTTGCTGTGAGCATCCTCTCTGCCCTCCTACTAGACTCTGGTACACTCTGCTGGATACTTTATCTTTGCTCATCTCCTTGGAGTTTATTTTCCAAGGAGATCATGTAGTTAAACCCAGAGGCCCTCTGGGCTCCTCATCTAGAAAGACTCAGTGTTGGTCAATCTGGTCCTGTGACTCCCAAGCTCTTGTAACAATGTCAGAGGAATCATCGTGCTCTCTGTTAACACATGTCACATTGCTATTAAATCCAACCTCTTTGTTTCAGCTTCAGGTTAAGATTCAGAGAAACAACTGTTCTCATGTTCTGGTGAAGTTTTAGATTCCTCTTACTCCCAATTCTGACCTCTACACTGCAGGGAATAATCCTAAATTTTATTCTGTTAGCCTCACAGACATTTTATTCTATATGTAATATTCTTTGTATGATACCTACTCCAGACCACTAATCAATACTTCAATAATTCTGCTTCTCATTCAAGCAGAAAAAATGAAAAAAAAAAAAAAAAAAAGGTGATTAATCAAATGTGGATGGAGTTCCAGTTTTCTTTTAAATCACTTAACAAATGTTATTACTCTGGTTGATAGGCATCCAAATCTTCTACTTACCTGATCACAAGCTAGAAGCCTCAGGCAGTATAGACAACATAGCATTTGGCAAAAAGATAAAGCTAGGAAGTGAGAAAATTAGGATGCGCTCTTACCTGCACAGGATGAAGCTGAGTTTTGATGCTTCCAACACCTTCCACGGTGGTCACAGCAGCTCCATACAGAGAGCAGATGGGCATCAGGCATGCGGCGACGGAGAAGTGTCTTTGTATAAGAAACACAAGGAAAATCAAGAGAAGTAACACAGTCCTGCCTTATGGGCAAGCCTGGCACCAGGAAGAACGGCGGAAGACCTCCAGAACCCATCACTGAGCTGAGGGCATGGGGAACTGGAGAGGAGGAATTTACAGTTCTCTCTGCTGACTCTGTGCTCTCTGTTGGAATAGGGAGCCTTAAGGTGAATCTGGACATTCTGAACTTCAGAAACACTTTCCAAGCATAGACCCACCTGGGAGTAACAGGAATAAACTTGTGTCACTAGGAGTGTGGTTGGACTTCAACAGTATTCATTGGAACATTGACTTCATAACAAGCAAAATGTATACCTATGTCTTTTATCTATATGTACACATTTGAGAATTTTTTTGCTTCCTAATTTAAAACTCCCTAGGTAAGGTCATTCAACAGTGCAGGAAGACCTGTGTTCTGAAGCCATCTCTTGATTTGTTGGGCCAATGGACTTGGGGGAACCCCAACTTCTAGAATCTGGTCCTTAAGAAAAGGGTGAAATCTTAGCCTCAGTCCTTGCTCTGTAGGGCTGGTCTAGCCCAATTGTACAAAGAGTATTAGCGGCTGGTGGCGGTGCTTCAAAGCCTCTAATCCCAAAACTTTGGGAAGATGAAGCAGTTGGATTGCTTGAGGTCAGGAGCTCGAGACCAGCCTGGGCAACGTGGTGAAACCCTAGCTCTACCAAAAATACAAAAAATTAGCTGGGTATGGTGGCAGGCACTTGTGGTCCCAGCTACTGGGAGGCTGAGGTGGGAGGATCACTTGAGCCTGGGAAGCAGAGGTTGCAGTGAGCCGAGATAGCAACACTGCACTCCGGCCTGGATGACAGAGTGAGACTCCGCCTCAAAGAAAGGGAAAGAAAAAGCATTATTAGCTTCAGAGCCAGAAAATGTAGGGGTCCAGTCCTTGTTCTATAGCTTACTAGTTGTATGACTTTGAACAAGTCACTTCATCTCTTTGAGCCTCAGTTTCTTCATCTGTAAAATCAATGGCTGACCTACCCTGGGGTTTCTTAACCTGGGGTGCATAGATGGGCCTTGAAGGATCTTCGTGAAATGGTGTGTAACATGTAGTTAGTTTATGTGTTACTTGAGTAGATGACTCGCAGCTTTCATTGTATTTTTCAGAGCCGTCTAAGATCTGGACACAGCAAGAATCTAAGGACCTTTCTTCAAGTGGTGAGCTAAGAACATGAGCAAGAAACAAAGTCCTGCCCTGGCTTCTGGGCTGGGATACCTTATCTTCTTGGACACGGAGTCATGCTTGGACACCATCACGGTGCAGGCGCCACAGCCTCCTCTTCCGCAGGCGTACTTGGTTCCTGTGAGACGTACTGGAAGGGACGCAGTCAAGGAAAAGGTGCCAAGGCGAACATTTGCTTTCAGTATAGCTGGCTCCCTAGGGGGTCACTTCTGAGAAAGTGTTTTTGAAGGGTGAGTGTAGATATGAGAAGCCATTCACCTGCCTTCAGGTCTTAGTGTGACACTGAGCATATGAACCTCTCCCTGCCTGTTTTCTCACAAAGAGGGAGAAGCAATACCTATTTTATCTCCACAGGCTTATAGTAAGCATCTTGTAGCATAATGGGTGTAAAGCCCTTTGAAAAATCCTATTTTAGGCGGGGCACGGTGGTTCACACCTATAATCCCAGCACTTTGGGAGGCTGAGGCGGGTGGATCACCTGAAGTCAGGAGTTTGAGACCAGCCTGATAAACATGCAGAAACCCCATCTCTACTAAAAATACGAAAAATTAGCCAGGTGTGATGGTGCGTGCCTGTAATCCCAGCTACTCGGGAGGCTGAGGCAGGAGAGTCGCTTGAACCTGGGAGGCAGAGGTTGCGGTGAGCTGAGATCAAGCCATTGGACTCCAGCCTGGGCAACAAGAGTGAAACTCCATCTCAGAACAGAACAGAACAAAACAAAACCAAAACAAAAAAAAAGAAAAAAGAAAAATCCTATTTTATTATAGGGTATTCTTATATGTCTTCTTCTGGGTTTCAATCATACAATTGTAAGAGAGGAAGGCTATTTTTAGCAACTCAATTTGTGTTGCATTTGAAAGCAAATTGGTAATTTTTAGAGAAATGTCCTATCCTTATTTACAGATCCCACCAAGTGTCCCTCTGCTGCGGCTTAGCCTCAGTCCCTTCTCTTTATTCATCCTTCTCCCTAACTGGTTTATTTCCAAGCAATTTATAGAATTGGAGGTAATTAACTAAATTGGCTAAAAAGATTTCAGAATGCCTAACTCTGTACTGCTAGTGCCTGTTTTTTTTTTTTTTTTTTTTTTTTAAACCCTAAGCTTATTCATCAAAATTAAGTCAAAACCCAAAATGCTTATCAGAGTGGTAATGTAAATGAAGAGGGGGCTACACGTGACTGGTGAGCTCGGGCCCTTTAGGAAATGGCTGGAACAGTCCCTGCTCAGTTCTCAACAAGACTGTTGCCACTCAGGGATGGCAATCTCCCTGTTTTTCAAGAGAAGCTGAAAAATCTTGATTTTTAAATAATATAAAATTTTCTAATTTTTAAACATCAACAACCAATTAAAAACCATGGGCTTTTAAATAAAACTTGTCCAGAAGCTGATTTCATCAATTAGTAACTTCTGTCATTTATTTATTTTTGATTCTCAGAGAACTGAGAGATCCATCAGATTTACCAACTAAAATATGTTTGCTATTATGAGGATCTATATTTCAGAATATGAAATGGCAGGGAAAACCGAGGGTAAGAAAACAGATGTAGGGAAAGGACATCTTTCTCTGTGACACAGGTTCCAACTGAATCCGGAGGATTTGGTTTCTAAAAAGGGCAGGACACAGGCAACACAAGCCTCTATTACATAATAACCCTGTGGGGCTCCAGAAAGCTCACGAGGGAATTATTAGTGCTGAAGTAGAGCTTAGCTTCCATTTCACTGCTATTATCAGATACAGGGAACTCTGGGGAAACCTCATCCTCTCCAGAATAACCCGATTAACCTAATATCCTTAAAACCACGACCAAAAGCAAATAGAGGCAGAGCCAAGGGGGCTGACTATTTGAATGGAGAGATCTGATTCATTCCCATAGTTCTCAGATGCCCTAAGTGTTAAGACAAACATAGACACAGCCAGGACTTTGACAAAAGGGTCCAGTTCTTCCGTAGGAAGGTCAGCAGGGTCCCTTCCGGGTCCACATTCCTCTCTATCACCTATGTTGGGAACAGAAGAGAGATGATTATGGGGCTTGAATCTGTGACCCCATGGAACATCTGTGGAAGCCTGTTTGATTTAGGGATTGGGGTATAATAGGGCTGATTTCATCTGCACCTGTTTTTTTGGTGCTCTGAGGGCAAACGTCGTTCACACATGTTAACAGGACAGAAGACTCACAAGGCAAGTGAGGCAACAATGCTGTGATATACGAGTAGAGCTGGGAACCACTGCTGTGTAAAGATGCCTCTGGGGGATATTATTCATATTTGCTCCACTACCTATTTTTGTGGAATCATCCAATTCAGCCTTGAAATATTTCAGATCTGGGAGGGACTTGGATTGTGTGCATGTCTGTGCGTGTCTGCATATGTGTGTGCTTGTGTGAACGTGTGTGCCTGTGTGTGCATGCGTGCAATGAAGGATCCTGCAGGGAGGCAAGCTGGGTGGGCAGAGATCCTGGCCCCTCTGAGATCCCTCTGGTTGGGAATGTATTTGCCACAGTAGGAGTCCAAAGAGTGGCAGGAAGGGGAGGTGGAGAGTTGCTGCTGTCCTGAGGAAGCCCTGAAGACTGCCACTCCCCTCAATAGCAGTTGGCTCAGGACCCAGGTGGCCCTGGTAGACACTAGCATTCCCCCCTTGAAAAGTGGAGGTTTGGCCAGGTGCAGTGACTCACGTCTGTAATCGCAGCACTTTGGGAGGCTGAGGCAGATGGATCACCTGGGGCCAGGAGTTCAAGACCAGCCTAATCAATGTGGCAAAACCTTGTCTTATTAAAAATACAAAAAAAGAAAAAAAAATAAAGAAAGAAAGAAAGAAAAGAAAAAGCTAGGCATGGTGGCGCATGTCTGTAATCCCAGCTACTCAGGAGACTGAGGCATGAGAATCACTTGAACCCAGAAGGCAGAAGTTGCAGTGAGCTGAGATTGTGCCACTGCACTCCAGCCTGGGAGGGAGACAGAGCAAGACTCTGTCTCAAAAAAAAAAAAAAAAAAAAAAAAAAAAAAAAAGAAAAAAGAAAAGTGGAGGCTTTAGCTCTCAAAAGCCACAAGGAACCTTCTTTGGTGCCTCTTTCCCATTTCCTTATTTTGGGATAGTTCCTTGGACTTTGTCTCGGGGTGTCTTGCAAACACATCCAGCCATTCTGTTGTGTTGGAGGAAAGGAAGATACAGTCAACTATCCCTGTTAGAGTCTTCCTTTCTCCCCAGAAGGGAGACATAAACTTTTGTAGACCTGAAAAAATAAAAAAGCCAAAGGAAGATGCATACAAGCTGGGATGTTAACATTCAACTGCGTTCTGGATCTCTAGGGGATCCAAATCAATGGAATAAGAGGCTGTTCCCTGCCTGCCCCAACCCCCACCACCGGTCCTTTAAACACATAGATTGAGAGTGTGGTTGGATGATATTTTTGTTGTGTGACTGACCCCCACCCCTACCTCATCCTCCTTGCATTTCTTCTAAGCCTTGACTTATTCCCTGCTCTGACGATAGCTACTTCACTCTGGGCTCTTGATACAGAGGGGATGTGGCGTGGAAAGCAGAGTAAGGAGACTCCTCTGGCTTTTGAGTCTCCAAAAGCTAGGCCAGTGGGATGGGCAAGCAAGGACTCAAATCCTCAAATGACAGTTTTGGAAGAACATACGGTGGTTGCTGGTTATGGAGTCTGCATACAGGAGAGTGGGTCAGAAGGGCCTTTAGGGTCCTTTCTTGAACTAAGCTCTGGGGTTGGGGGTAGATAGTGACCAAGCCCTGGGGCTGAGGATCCCTGGGGGGAGGTGACAAGACCCCAGAAAAGCCATATGCCTTGGGAGCTGCAGAATGGTTCATTTGAGAGACAGACAGAGACTCAAGAAGGGAAGGGCCTGCAGAGGGAACTCGGGTTAACTGGGGGCCTGCATGGGTGAATGGTGAGGACTGGAGGGAGGATGCTGGGACAATTGGCAATGGAGAGTCCCTGCCCTTTTTAGACAGGCTCCAAATGGATTTTAGCCACCACCCAGGGAAAGCAGGGGACCCTGATCGACTGAGAGGACGTTTTAACCAATTCTGTATGATGAGGACTCAACAGAAAAATTAAGTTGATAAACAAAAAAGTTAAAAAGGTCCTATTTCTTGTCCTCCTAATTTTGAGGCTCAAGATGTGTTGCCAGATAAAGTGTGTCTGTGGATCAGGGCTGGCACCAAGCGCTTTACAAAGGGATTCCTAGTCAAGGAAGGAGGCAGCTTTCTTTTCATCTTGACAATGGCAGGGAACAGGAACGCAGCAGAAAGTGGCTGAAGGTACACTCACAGAGGCGGGTGGCCCTGCTCCCAGGAGGCCTCTGTGGCAGGCCTGTGGGGTTTACTCAGCCCACCGGGAGGCCATTGGAGGGTTGTAAGTTAAGAAATGCCAGGTTTAAGCAGAAGAAGGACCTGAGAAGAGTAGTTCATCTTTTACAGCTTTTTTTTTTTTTTTTCATCTAAACACACCTAGAAGTGGATTCCAAAGGTGAGGACTCCAAGACTCAGGGATGGGAAGTAGCGTGCACAATGTTACATAGTCAATGGCGAAGCTGGATTCATCCGACACCAAGGCTTTACCGAGCCCTCCCCACATTTCCAGGAGCTGAGCTCTGGCTGAGTGGGAAACAGGTCACATTAGGATGGCTTTCTAGTCCCCGGCTTCTTACCTTTGACCACAGGGGCTCAGTCCAAATGGGCCACAAGAGCTCCCCTCCAGCTCATGGTTTCCTGCTGCCTTGCAAGCCACGGTACGAATGCCCATCACTTACCTTCCTCCCGTTCACGAAGAAAACCAGCTCGTCTGATCGTGATGCGTAAGGCATTGCACCTGTAAATAGGTTCTGCTTTTCAAGTCCAGGTGGGAATGCTCTTTGCACCAGCCACAGAATGGGGTGGTAAGGATTTAGGTCTAAGCAACTAGACTCTCTCCTTATGTAGATGCAGGTGGCCTGGAGCCTCACAGCACAGGAGGAGGAGACCTTGTTTCACAGCTTAAGTCTAGGGCGCCCGTCTAGTCCAGCCTCTTCACTGGAGCCTCACTCTGCCTCCCACCAATCCTGACTTTGAAGCTGACTCAGCACACAGCCCACACCCCTTCTTGCTTGTTCTGAGGTTGGAGGGCGTCAGCACGAAAACCAAACAACAATCTAAGCTTACACACTCTCTGCACACTGCCTCAGCCCTGGGAACAGACCATGATTGGACTTTCACTTTTCTCAAAGACAAGTGGGCTTTCTGAGACCTCCCACTTTCCCTAACTTTTTTGTTTTTTCTAATTTTAGCTGCAGAAATGTCTCCTCATAGGAGATTATGTGATCAAGTCCAATCTGTGCCACAGTTGAAGTGGAGTAGTGGGGTGACTTCCACCTTCTTCCCTACCCCCAGAATTGTTCCACTGGAAAACAGTGATCTAGTTAAGACAACCACTGTACAGATAAATAAACTGAGGCCCAGAGAGGTGAGATTAGTAGCTCGGAGTCACTCAGAAGTAAGTGGCAAAGCAGGTACTAAAACTAAGGTATTTGGCTTGTAACACCTGTGAAGTGTATAGACAGAATCCTCGATTAAAAAAACACAAAACAGCCAGGTGTGGTGGCTCACACCTGTAATCCCAGCACTGTGGGAGGATTGCTTGATCCCAGGAGTTTGAGACCACCCTGGGCAACATGGCAAAACCCTGTCTCTACTAAAAACACGAAAATTAGCCAGGCGTGGTGCCACATGCCTGTAGTCCCAACTACTCAGGAGGCTGAGGCAGGAGGATGACTTGAGCTTGGGAGGTTGAGGCTGCAGTGAGCTGTGAACATGCCGCCGTACTCCAGCCTGGGTAAAAGAGCGAGACCCTGTCTCAAAACATGAAAAAGAAAAATATCATGTTTGTTTTTATGAACATCTCCAATTAAATATATTCGTAGATGAGATCAAGCAGCTCTTATTCTTTCAGCTGAAGTAATGCCTAGAACTTGGCCTCATGTATGGGCGAAGCAAGTAGCTGCTTACATGCCTGGCTTCAGGAGAGCTGGCAAGACGTCTCTGTTCCCTGACACTTCCTTGATCAGTTCGTGGAGCCCTGGCATCATCATTAGAGTCAACCCTTTGTCTTCAGATGAGCATTCACTGTGTGGCAGTGTATCTGTCAGGCCGGAATGGCAAACACCTGGCATCCTCTTGCTCTGGCTAATTGAGGAAGGTCCTCTCTCTCTCCTGGTCCTGATGTGGCTTCAGAATCCTTCCTAGAGCTACTCTTCAACGAATAGAGTTGGCAGCTTCCAAATTTCTTGACAATTTTAATGCCTAGGTTCTCAGACATTCCAGTTTTCATGCACTGGTGGAGACACGTGTTTACACACATGCCTGTATGTTGGTTTGAGTTTGTATATGGGTGTGTTACATGTATTAAACAGTTGCCAAATATATCTGCAACGGTGTGGTGACAGAAGCTAGAGATTATGCTGTGAATTAGGAAGGACCTTCAGGTCACAGCTTGGCTCATATCGCTCCTGGTGCTATCAGGACCTTTTGGATCATGTGACTCCTGTTCAAAACCCCTGAATAGCTCTTTGCTTGCAACATAGGTTTAAGACTCCTCAGCCCAGTGTGCAAGCCTTCCATGAACTGTTCCTGTCTCTGGCCTCTGACTCTTCTGCTCTTGAAAAAAAAAAATCTGCTCCAGCCAAACTACTCTTCTCACATCCTTCTTCTACTTAAACCTGGCATTTCTTAACTTACAACCCTCCAATGGCCTCCCGGTGGGCTGAGTAAACCCCACAGGCCTGCCACAGAGGCCTCCTGGGAGCAGCGCCACCCGCCTCTGTGAGTGTACCTTCAGCCACTTTCTGCTGCATTACTGTTCTCTGCCACACTGGCCTTTTCCCTGCTTCTCCAATACACTAACTTCTTTCTTGTCTCAGGTCTTGGGCCACGTTGTTCAAAGACAGGATCTTGCTCTGTTGCCTCAGTTGGAGTGCAGTGGTGCAATCATGGCTCACTGCAGCGTCAATCTCCCAGGCTCAAGTGAGCCTCCCGCCCTCAAGTGATCCTCCCACCTCAGCCTCCCAAGTTGCTGGGACTCCAGGCATGCGCCGCCACACCCGGTTAATCTTTTATTTTTTGTAGAGATGGGGCCATCCCTCTATTTTCTATCACCCTGTTTCATTTTCTCCATAGCATTTGTTAACTACCTGACATGGACACTTGGTATCTTTTTATCTGCTTTCTCCACTAGAATATGAGCTCCGTGAGAGCACAGACGTTACTTTCACTTCGCCCCTGTATCCCAGGGCCTAGAATGGTGCCACCAGAGAGTACTGTTAGTTGAATGACTGGAAAAGCTTCTCCTGGCTCTGCAATGATGAGGACTCTGTCCGTGGTCCATGGTGATTTCGCTCCCTTTCTCTTTAGCTACCATCACAAATCAGCTCCGAACTTCCCTTCTTGCCTTTCTCTGGAATCCAAAAGCACCTGCAGATCCAACCCACTGCTCCTTTACTTTTCCTTTATTAACCAGGAATCAAGGAACCTGTCTCGAATTTGCCACTGATTAGCTGATTATCTTTGCAGTGTTTGTGTGTTATGTTCCCAGCTGAGCAATTAGCTCCTGGAATTTCCAATAGCTGGTTGTATCTGCCGCCCTGGGCACCATGAATGGCAACTTATTCGTGGCAGGGGCTGGTAGATGCTGGACTGATTACCCAAGGTACTTTAAATGGAAGAAACATTAGTGATTTGTTCATTCTTCATTCATTCAACAGTAGTAACTGAGCCTCTGCCTTGCACCAGGCACTATGCTAAGGGGTAGAGTATGGTGGGGAACAAGAGCTACGTGTTTTCATCCTCTGAGGCCCTTAAGTTTTAGTAAGACAGTAACATGCAATTAAAGGCTGATGCTTGTGACATGCACAGATAAATCAGCTGTTTTTTTCAGGGACAGGGATCAGAAAAGGTCTCTCCCAAAAATATTTATCAGAATAAATCCTTCAATGTCAACATAAAATTCAAGCATGCCAGGTGGAACAGTTTTAGAGCACTAAAGCTGGATTATGGCATTAGATTTGTAAGATATAAAAGTACGTTGGATTAGAGAACATAATGCTTTAATTGCTGGGAAACTGAAAACTGACTGTGAATGGCTTTCGAGAAGGGTTTTCAAACTCCTTAGAGCCAGGAAAACCTTTGTTTGAATGACGTCTTATGAAGTATAAACAAATTAAACAAAAAGTTTACTTTCCTAGCTGAGGGGCCTAGGGTAAAGACCTGAAGGCTTCTGGCTTTCTTTCCTTCAAGAAACCCCCAGAACTCTGGGGAGCTCAGTTTGAAAACCACCCACTTCGAAAGTGAATGAAAGGTTGCCCACAGTCAGCAGGGGTGGGTGCAGTCTCTGCCAAGTTTTTCTGACCCTCAATTCTTATTCAAGACCATGGAAGAAAGCAACCACTACATTTCTTTGTTTGTTTCTTCTTCTTTTTTTTTTTTTGAGACAGAGTATCACTCTGTATCCAGGCTGGAGTGCACTGATGTGATCTCGCCTCACTGCAACCTCTACTTTCTGGGTTCAAGCGATTCTCATGCCTCAGCCTACTGAGTAGCTGGGATTACAGGCACGCACCACCACACCCAGCTAATTTTTGTATTTTTGGTAGAGATGAGATTTCACCATGTTGGCTAGGCTGATCTCAAACTCCTGGCCTCAAGTGATCCACCCACTTTGGCCTCCCAAAGTGCTGGGGATTACAGGCGTGAGCCACTGCACCTGGCCTCTTCTTTTCTTCTTTAATGAAAAGGGAAAACTAAATTTATTCACTTTTAAATGGATTTTTTTTTCCAGTAGGTGAGAGAAATTCCACATGTATTGACCCAGGTGCTTGTATGTTTGTTATAAAAAAAGGTCTTAAGATTTACGTAAAAGAATTCCTGGCACCCGGTGAAAGAATTAATACTGGAAATAACACCTGTCCCTCTCCCAAAAGTCAAACACTTTATTTCTGAAAAGAAAACAAACAAACAAACAAGCAAAAAACTCTGTAACACATCCTCTTGCTGATGGAAATGGAAAAGTACCAGCCGCTGCTATGGTGTCTCTGGGGCACTAGCTTCTGTCGTGAGCTTTCAAAACCCAAAGATGGAACACAGGCAGTGAGGCGCTTTATAGGACCGTGAGAGCTCGGGCTGATCATTAACTATCTGCGTTCCAGATCTTTTGTTCTCAGTCTTTTTGACTTCAAGCCTCCTTTCCCTCCCAGCTCCCATCTTTCTGCCTTTGCCGTGCCACGCACAGCTGGACCTAGGGAAAGCTGAGTGCCAGCGAGGCCTTGGGCTTGCGGGAGAGGGGCTCTTTCCCTCTCAGGCTGGGGGTGGTGGTGCTTAGAGATCAGAACTCCTAAAACTGTGAATCTGGAGGAGAGCTTGGTCGTGGGGGTCGGGGTGGGGCACATGGAGAGAAAGCCCATCTTCTACTGGTGTGAATAGGAGGTCAAGACTGCCAAATGGGTGGGAAGTCTTGCCCACCCATTAATCCTTCCTGTTCCAGATTCTTAGCAAGGATTAATATGAGGAGCAGGAGGGCTGTGAGGCTGAGGAGATTCAACCACTTGTCTCAACAGGGCCCTGGCAGCCTTCCTGCTTCTACCCTACCAAGCTTCTCAAGTTCATGGCTGGATTGAAGAGAAAGGACACCCACCTGATACTACATTTAAACGCCAAGGATAATAGATGATCTTACAAGGTACTGGGCTGAAAGACGAAGTTTTCTGTGAAGGAGAATCACTTGGCGTGGAGCTCTCATCTGCCATGGACACTAGAGGGCAGCACACTAGAGGAGAGAGTA